GGGAGGAATGTCTTCAAGCGGGACATACTCTGCTGCAATGGTACACCACCATCTGTCCCTGGTCCTGGCCACATGTGATGCATCTGCAGTACCTCTTGTTTGAAAGTACTTCCTGTGAGCTTACTGTGCAATTCTAAATGGCTTTGAATCCATTGGGATCGCTTGGCTTCAGGGGTACATTCCAAAATGGTCATGACTGATTGTAAAAGATAGCTCAACTGAAGGGTTCCAGTGAAAGACCTGCTATGATCATCCAGTGAAAACGGTTGACATGAGATACCTGCGCTCACCATCGTTCCAGACCCGGTCTGCTTTGCGACTTCGGCCGCCGTAGCTGACGCTGAGATGTCTCCTTGAATCACTTGGACTGAGTACCTGTCTTTCACCCATTTGCAAAAGGTCGGATTCTGCTCCACGAAAAGGCATGTGTCAACTCCCAAAAATCTGAAACCAACGTCAACTGCCCCGATTCCTGCACATCCCTCGATCAACTGCTGAAGCTTCTCAATGTTTGTCGACTGATGCTCTAGCAAAAAAGAATCACTTCTGAAATCCAACCAAGGCCTACGACCATTCAGGAAAGATACCTTGAATAATGTCATCTTCATCGTGTTTCTATTGATCGGAGCATTGGTGAGGAAAACTTGGTGGTTGACCATAGATCTGCAAACATGGGCCCCAGGGCAGAAAATCAAAACCTGTGCCACCACATCTGTCTGCTGGCCATCCGAAAGGTCAGAAAACGAAGGTTCCAGGAAATTGGATGAAACGCCCATGGCTTAATCTACCCGCCCGAAGTTTGGCCAGGACCGCTCTACCCCCCTGGTAGGATTCGGGCCCAGAGCTATAATATATTATCATATCCTGCAAACATGTTTAGTGGACGAGGCAATGTTGATGCAATGTCTGACGCAATTCAATCGGCATCTCCCAATTCTCCAAAAAAGGCGGCTACCACACTTCCACCATATTAAACCCATGTTACATGTTAGTCAAAAAACATACAAGTAATGGTTCCCCACTCAAAACTATTGATGGGGGTGTTACCTACACACAAACAGAACCGTTCAACGCTTTGAGCAGAACCCAGCGCATTGGCCACCTTTGGCGCTATCTTGGAATGTTCCCCCTTCATGTGGCAAACCCAATAAATAAACTTCAACTACCTACAGACAGTTTGCGATTGCTGCCAAAAATAAATAGTTAGCAAGGAGTATGGTTTGTTTTAGGGGTTGCCACATTGCAAACCATCATGCTGTGGTGTTGTGGTCTTGTGTGCTATACTTCACGACTTCACCCAAATGAAATCTTCACTGCAGAGTGAGAGATGCTGCGACTCAGCGCTTACAAATCAGAACGAATTCCGCTTCGCGTAAATTCGCGAGCTGATGCTGTGGTACATTAAAAGTCCTCGACCGTCAGCTTCGAAAAAGACGATGGTTTGCACAAAATGGCAATGGCGGCCCAAATGTTGGAGTTCACCAATGCAACAAAATGTGTTTTTTGAGTTGTCATGGAATCACAACCGGCATCGGCGACATATTCATTTGGGCCAACTTTGATTACTATTCGTATTCGGAACGAATGTGTCTGGCCTTCTGCTGTGTTCACAAGTCGTCCTTGTGCTGTGTCTACACCAAATTCATGTGATACACCCAATAATCAACCTACCTTTTGAGGATGGGTTTTACCACCCATGGTAACATTAGGGATGAAGGGCATCCATGGCGGGGCTCGATGTGATACGACTGGAACCACGCTGCTTATGCAGTTTGTATGGACGCCAACTTTGGGGTAGATAGTTTTGAAATGTTTTGAACGAGTCCACCATTCTCATTCTGCTGGCTGGCTCAAAAGTGGGAACATACCCGCCATTTCCCGTGCAGAAAATCAACCAATGGTGGGTTTCAGTCAGATTTGACACGAGCAGATTGCGAACAAAGAAACGTAAAACATCACTGTCACAAAACATTTCGGCATACCCCAAAATGGGATGATTTCCGACTACTAACAACAGGAATATCGAAATTAAGGAGATTTTCCCCTTGCTCATTTCGGGCGAAGGTGGGAGCAGGTGATTTTGTAGAGAAAAGAGATCTACAGAATACAGGATCATCCAAAAGAGTGCCCCCAAGTGTACTACAAAATGAAAGTCTATAGAAGAAAAAATGGTTGCTCACTGCAAAATAGAAAACAAGAACAATCAAAAACTATCAAGTAAGGGTTTTCTACAAATTAGATTTGCATTTTGTTCCGGCATTGGTGTTTTGCTACCATGGGCCGTGGGCTCCAATTTAAAAAATGTGTGCCAGTAGTGCCGCACAAGGCGGTGGCGGAAGATTCAAAGATAGGAAACTATAGGAGAGGTGAGTTGTTGTGATGCATGGTGGCAGAGCGAATCCACTGATGGACCGAAAGGTGGTTGTAGTGGTTGCAGTGGTCACCTTAACCACAGCTGCTGGATGTAATGTGGTGTAGAGCGTAGTGTAAAGTATTATTTGTAGTTGCAGTTGCAGTTGTAGTTGTTATGTAGTGTAGCTGTAGCTGTAATTGATGTAGTTGTAGTTGTAATGTTGTAGTTGTAGCTGTAGCTGTAGTAGTCGTTGTAGTTGTAGTTGTAGCTGCAGTGGTAGTTGCAGTGGTAGTGTAGTGGTGGTGAAGTGTGGTGAAATGTGGTGAAGTGGAGTGTAGTGTAGTGTAGTGGAGTTGTAGCTGTAGTTGTAGTTGCAGTTGTAGTGTAGTTGAAGCTGCAGCTGTGGTGGATGTTGTTGTAATTGCAATGTTGTAGTTGTAGCTGTAGCTCTAGTAGTTGTAGTAGTAGTTGTTGTTGGTGTAGTTGTTGTAGTTGTTCTTGCAGTTGTGGTTGTAGTGTGGTGTAGTGGTAGTGCAGTGTGGTGAAGTGGAGTGTAGTGGAGTTGGAGTTGGGGTTGTAGTTGTAGCTCCAGTGTAGTGTAGTGGTATTCGGAATCGTAGTTGTAGCTGTTGTAGTTGCAGTTGTAGTGGTAGAAGAAGAAGTAGCAGTTGTTGTTGTTGTTGTGGCTGTGGTTGTGATAGTTCTTGTGGTTGTTGTTGTTGTGGTTGTGGTTGTTGTTGTTGTTGTTGTTGTTGTGGTATTGTTGTTGTTGTTGTTGTTGTTGTTGTTGGTGTTGGTGTTGGTGTTGGTGTTGGTGTTGTTGTTGTTGTTGTTGTACTGCTGTTGTTGTTGTTGTTGTTGCTGTGGTTGTGGTTGTTGTGGTTGTTGTGGTTGTTGTGGTTGTTGTGGTTGTTGTGGTTGTTGTGGTTGTTGTGGTTGTTGTGGTTGTTGTGGTTGTTGTGGTTGTTGTGGTTGTTGGGGTTGTTGGGGTTGTTGTGGTTGTTGTGGTTGTCGTGGTTGTTGTTGTTGTTGTTGTTGTGGTTGTTGCGGTTGTGGTTATGGATGTTGTCGTTGTTGTGTAGTGTGGCACGGCTGAACGTCCAAAAGTGGTACGAACGTGGTGTGTTTTTCACACCTTGACTTCGAAATCTGCTTCGCGCAACAACGGCGTGCACTTGTTGAACATCTCAACTTCAAAAAGCGATCCAAACACGATAAACACGTCAGTTTTTTACACTTTTGACTTCGAAATGTGCTTTGCGCCACAGCGGCGTGCACTTTTTCGACATCTCAGCTTCAAAAAAGTGCTCCCAGCATGGGGTGCTTTGCACACTTCGACTTGGAAATGTGCTTCGCGCCACAACAGCGTGCACTGTTTCGACATGTCAACTTCCAAAGTGTTCCGGGCATGGTGTGCTTTGCGCATTTTGACTTTGAAATGTGCTTTGCGCCACAACGGCGTAAGTTTTTCGACATCTTAACTTCCAAAAGTGGTCAAAGAATGGTGTGTTTGGTACATTTTGACTTCGAAATGTGCTTCGCGCCAAAACGGCGTGCAATTTTTCATCTCTCATCTGGCCAGATGGCTCCGCACCCGCCGCTTTAGCGAGCCTACTTTTCGGGCCTCCGGAGCCACAAATCATCGGAAAAACACAGTGTTTCGCGGCTTTCCCACCTTTTCGCACATCTGCATCTTCTTTCTGCTGACTCTTTCTCTTCTACTCTTCTCTCTTCTAATCTTTTCCCTTCTCTCTGCCTCTGCCCTGCTCTGCTTTTCATCTGTCCATATTGTCGGAAGTTTGACTTCTAAACTTCCTTCGATCATTCATACATCTATCATAAACAAATACACGCGGAGAACGAAATACTTCGACCCTTAAAGTACCCCTAAAAACGGCAAACGTGCAAAATTGGTGGCTAAAGTACTCAATCTGCATTTGGTATGTAGAGGATCTGGCAGACGATCATCTACAGACAGAACTTTAGTGTGATACTGCTGTATATGGTGTTTTCCAAGTTTTGGCCCAATCCGGCGACAAACATCAAGGAGTAGCGTCTGATATACCAATCGTTCGAATCGCAAAGCAAGATTGTGTTTACCTACCCTTTGTCACTGAGGTTCACCATCCTAACTGGTAGAAAAACGGAACGCATTTGAAACAGTGAACAGTTCACCAATGTATGGGTTTGCTAAAATAATGTGTGTTAAAAAAACAACGCAGAACTGACCTAATGAGGAAAAGAATGAATCAAAATGAATCAAGCCTCACATGAAAGCTTTCCCATCATATTTTACACAACTTTTTATGGCTACAATGTGTTGCCCCCGCTGGAAAATCCAGCATTCATAGATGAATTTCCCAGCTAGAAACCTCCATGGCTAGTTCGGGATTATCCAGCCACATTTGGGGGGACGCCGATTTTTTTTATATCCAATAAATCATAATAAATCACCATGCGGTTGGTTATACTGCAGGTATCCCAAATAATCCAGACACAAACAGTATAATATGTAAGATTATAATAAATCCCTCATGTAAGATTATAAATTATCCAGACACAGATTATAATAAATCCCTCATAATCTTAAATATAATAAATCACCATCCAGACACAAACATACCTAAGACATCCAAGCGCTCCAGGCTCAGGGAAGTGATGAGGCCCGGTGGGGCCGCGTGCTGACCGCCGTGTCCAGCAAGACGCCGGGGGTGGCGAAGAAGACGTGTGAAGTCGACCTGAAAAACACCGGCGCCCAACGCCCTGGTGGTGGAGACCGCCCCGGTGAAACATGGTCGTTTTTGGGGATCACCATGGGCTGAGGAAGAAAAGCAAGCTTTTTCAACATCTTGAAACCACCATATAATTGGGATATAATTGGGTTAACAAAAAAATAATAGAATCTTGAAGTTATGATATAGGTGTGTTAGAAAGACTGATCATTTGATCTTGTTTATCGGGATTTCTGATATACCATCCCAGAATCTCCCTTCACAAACATTACACCCTGAAAAACTTCACGGACATGCTACTAGGGGATGTGATTGGATATGGTAGTGTACGCAACAATCTATGTAACATTTTGCTTGGAGGCATAAGAGAAATCATTTGATGGCTGCAAAAATACCGTAATATGGGAGATGATTGGATATATAGGTATGTGTATTATGATTGATTCAATCTTTTATGGCAACATATGTTGCACAAAGTCTTTTCTGATACAAGCCCCGGAACTAGCACTAGCACACACACCTGAGAATCGTACCGGGGGGGGTGCATACTACCAATCACTTAAGAAGTGCGCGTTATAACGGTCTACAGTCTACAGAACCAGCAATATGAGATGTGTTTGTCAGACATGGAGAATTTAGCCCATTTTTAACTAGCAAACGTATGGGAACATTATTTTTTAACCAGTGGATGTTTGGGTACTTTCTTTTCCAAACACACCTACACGGATCATGAGAATTGCCCATTGGTTTGGAGTAGTCTGCCCGAGTGACTAGCAGTGTCTATGATAGGGAGAGGATATATCTTCTACCCATAGCATCCATATCTTAATGGTGGTTTGTGGAAATCAATGGTGCCCCAGGTCTACAAATTATGACCGCTCTTTAGTGAGAACATATGTATTAGGAGGTCGGATGAGGTCGGTACTTCTTGCTTAGACACGCCCATATTCATCTACTGATTTTGACGGATTTTGGGAGTACTGGAAATGGAGGTAAACATCCCATTTGGATAATCTGACATTTATGTATATATATATATATATATTATATATATATATGCTCACCCCCCCCTAGAACCCCCCCGTGCAACAGCCTTTTGTATAGAGCTTTAGTGAGGTTGAGGCTTCCAGCAGAATGTGCCATTGGTTGCAATGTTTCATGCTTGAGTTGAGGTTCATGTTAGCCAGAATTTGAAGTATGTAGTGTGGAGAAATTTGTTTTGAAGACAAGGTTGCAGTTGAAGCAGACAGGTAGGTGCTGGCAAATGAAAGCTGTGGATGAAACTGAAGGACGTGTGCAGCTTTGACAAATGCAAACGAAGAGGGACACATGCAAAGCACGAACTTCTTTTGGCACGATGCGCACTTTGCTCAGGATCGCAGCCCTCAGCATGGTAGCGGTCGAAGTCCATGCGTTCTTCTTGCTGTACCAATAGGTCCATTGGGCAGCGCGGATCTTTCTCATCAGGGTCGCTGATCCAACCTTCCGGGGTGCGTGTTTGAGGTATGTTCTGAGATGGCCCCAGAAGCGATCTATGATCTGAGTGCCTGCTCTCACATGAAGTTTTTTGCCACCAGGTAGTGTATGGGTCCACTTCTTGGTGTAGCGAGGTTTGACCCATGTGGCCTTGCCTGCGACCATGATGCGCTTCTTCTTGTGAACAACGTTGTCGCGCAACACACCGGGAACTGCTAATTTGTAGGCCTTCGCTCCATCAGTGTGTAAGATGATGGAGCGATCCTTCAAAAGCTTCCAGGCCAAGGGTTTCCAGTCCCATTTGCGGATGGGCCCTGGACCCGGCGCTTGCACAGTGGTCGCCTTTGGCTTCAGGCGGAACAAGAAGAGAGTATGTGGCTGGCCTCGTTGTACAATGCCTCCCCATTGTTCCCATTTGGCCTTCTTGCCCTCGGCATACACCTCCTTACCAAGGTCGACTTCATCCGCTTCGACATCCGCCCATGCCTCAGAAGCACCAAATTGAATATTCTTCTGCTTCTGACATACATGTTGAGCACGGGTGTGTTCTAAGTTCTGGTAGATGCGCTCCACAGGCTTGTGATCCATGCCCAAGATGATGGGAGTTGAAGCGACCGGGACCCCAGCGACTGCACAGCAGAGCACTGCAGCTTGTTCACCCAGGGAAAGAAAGACATGGCGCCACCAACGCGCCGCAACACTTCTGCCAAGATACTCGGCCCAACTCGCTTCCGAAGGCGTTTCCGCAATGGACATATCCGACCTCAAAAGGGAAAGTCCAAAGGTTCTTTGCAACAGCAATGTGCAAAACCAAAAAATACCAAAAAAACTAAAAATACAAAAAACAAACAACAAAAACAAAAATACCAAAAAAAACAAAAAAAACAATGTTTGAGACCAGACCCTCCTGTTGGGGGGGGGCAGGATATTTGTATTTTTGGTATTTTTGGTATTTTTTTGTTTTGTTTGGTACGTTTGTTTTTTTTTGTATTTTTGTTTTTTTTTTTGTATTTTTGTTGTTTTTGTTATTTTTGGTTAATTGTTTATTTATTTATTGATTTATTTATTTATTTATTATCTTCATTATATTTTTGTCTATATAATACAGTCTTATATAATGTCCTGTGCAAAATGTATTGAAACATGTCCTTTTTTATATAGTATTTTCACTGTAAATATGCATGAAATATTGGTGTGCGGGGGTTCTCGGGGGGGTGACCATATATATATATATATACAGATATATATTATGTATGTATATATATATATATATATAAATATGTATCACTTATGTGGACAATGTTCAGAATCATATAGATGGAACTTGCATCACAGTGCATATACTAAAGTTTGACCAGCCCTTCAAGCCCTCTTTTTGGGACAATTCGTACCCCAATGAATTGACATATTACCGATCTTGGATTACCGCTCAGACATTAGGACCTTTTATTCAATGGCCTTGAAAGATATCTCTGCAGTGATTCCTTACAAAACAAAAAGGTTTGGAATATGCCCTTGAAACCTGACATGGAACCCAACAAAGGCGGTCTCCAAGGGGATTTTCTCGTAGACCCATAGATTTTGCGAAGTTTGGCATGTGTTTCCAAAGGTGTCATTTCGCATTCGAAAACAGCCTGGGATTTTGGGCTCAGCTATCCAACATTATCCAACCATCCTTCCGGTCCGACGATTTCGAGCCATGAGACTTACAACTTCCTGGCTCTAAGAATTTCTCCGTGAGGTCGATGTTTCGCGACTCCCACCTGCAAAGGTTCTAACAAAACAATGATATGTTGTCAATATCAAGTACCCAAATCACTCTTATCTACTGACGTGTTTCCATGTGTTAAACTTGATTAAATCTAAGGTGATTACAAGTGTTTCCAAAATTTGGTGTACGGATATGCAAAGGCTAGAAAAGGAGCAGTCAGGACAAGATTTGAGCGCTCTTTATTTTTGGGTTACAATAGTTGCCGTTTTTTTACCGTCCCTATGCCAGATCCATTGGAGCTCATGGCAAAATCTTGGCTTCGTATTCTGGTCCAATCTGGCCATGGAAAAGAATTGTTGCTGCTTGAAATGAGGGTTTTGAATAGAGAGAAGTTTGATTGAGATTTTAAGAGAGAGAGATAAAGTCTTGGAAGGGATGAAACATGATAGAGATAAGTTGAGAAAACATAAGTTTGATAGACTAGACACAAGTTTGATCAAGATAACTGCTAAAGATGTTTCGTTCTGGTGGACCGTTCATCTATTCCCGAACATCCCAGTTGCATGGTAGTTGTAACCCACAAAATATCCCAGTTATAGGCATAATAATTTTAATCCACACAAGGTGGTGCCCCAGTTCGATAGCTAAATTAGTTTATAACCAACATAATTAAGTAGCTATAGGGTTTATGGAAACTATTTAGTTAAAGAAAAAACAACTATAGTAGATATATGATGATATATTTTTTACTATTGGGGAACTATAGGGTTTGAACTATTTCTATTTATGCGATGTATAATTATATAATATCTATACTACGTATGTCTTAACTGGGTGGGCACCACCTTGTTTCGTCTTGCCTTCCATCCCCTTCTGGACCTGAGACTCATGGGGCTTGAGGTTGACGCGCAGGACATTGGGGTTCGCAGAACCAGCTTGGAATTTCCAGAGCTTGCCGCAGCCTAAAGGGTCTTGCGACCACCAGAAGTCGTTGTTCTGGTGTAGACAAGGAAATTAGGAGTGTATCATCGTGTAGCATACAGCATTTAGAAGTATGTCTATATACGGTATATCTATATATCTAAGTTGTTTTGCCCTTTGTTGATCTTATTATGATCATATCATGATCATATCATATATCTATATACTGTACAGTGAGAGTCATCAACAAGAATGAGTTCCTACCAATGGACATGCGAATAAGCCACAGTGACAGAAAACCATACTTTGTCTAGATTCTTAAAAAGAAAGACTGTAGTAATGCCATCCCCCTTTGTTTAACATAATTGTGGTCCCCAATCGCTGGCCACGTCAAGAAGCATAGAGGCTTGTCGCCAGCAGCACCAGCAGTGCGCCAAAGATGTTCAGAGGAGACAGGTCCACCTGCATCGGATGCGGAAGGAAAACCGAGCCATGGGAGATCATGGGAGGTGCTCATAACCCACTTTTTAACCATGATATCTTAATAATTCTTAATATATGGATCCACACTAATATAAGGTTAATATCTTAAGATATCTTTATAACCCACAATAACCCACAATAACCCACAATAACCCACAATACAATTTTAAGCTATGATCCAGTGCTTTGTGTCATGGATCCAGATGGCAATTTGGATGACGATAAACTATGGGATGGCTTCAATTTTAAGACACCACTAGATTAGAGCATACGCTTTTCGCAGCTCGAAAAAGGCAACAACAAACACATAAAAAAAAACCTCACAAATCCAAGGAACTGATTTTTTGACCTTAAACTTACCCTCCCAAAGTCAACTCACAAAATGAGCTAAGGCGCCTTGAGCTGGAAGACGGCATTCATCGTCCACTGAGGTATCACCTTGACCTGAACAATGACTGTAGGGCCAATGATTTCGAACCGCTGAAATGATCAAAACATGGCCATTTTCAGGAGGTTCAATGAGGTTTAATCAAGTTTGATGAATTATGTTTATAATAATGTTTTAAAGGAGGTTTGGAATGAGGTGTTCATTGTCAAGGGCTGCATAGTGAAACATTTTCAGATTGCTGGTCAAAGCGACGTTGCAAAGTTTGTAAGTTGAGTCCAGCTGCTCAAAATGGACATCATTGAGTTGTAGGGGTCCAATAAAACTGCGCAACATGCTGGAGATCATCACAGTCCGTAAACTGGGAAACCTCATTTCCCAATCCCTATTGCCCAGTTGGTCATGCCGCATGCCCATATTATGAAGGTGTGGACTCATAATATCCAGGTCTTGCCAAATGAATCCATATCGCACCAGATCAAGACCCATGATTCTATGGATTCTCCAAGAAGCCCCTGATCTTTCCAGATCAATCCATAAAGCATGTCACACCATATCACACCATCTAAAACCATTCAACAATTCCATATATATATATATATATATTATATAGAACTACATCACTTAAACCCACATACCCATACCCTAAATTACTCCCCAAAAAAAAAACATAAAAACATATTTTAAACCACATCAAACCGCCGTATATTAAAAAAAAACATATAAAACCCCTATAAACACCATACAAACACCATACAAACACCATATAAACACCATATAAATCCCTCGTTTCTGGCGTTGCCAGCGTTGCCACGAGACCCCTCCAATGATGCCCACTGTGGCCGCCGAGGTGAGGCCCGCCAGCCAGGTGAGGTTCACCTGGAGAGACGTTTGGCGATGGAAAATCATTATGAATTTATAATGGCTATATGGTTAATAATAAATGGTTATCATAATATAATGAATTGATAATGGTGATATGATTGTTAATGGTTAATGAATGAATGGTATGTTTCTCCAATCGTTAATGGTGGTTAATAGTGTTTAATAGTGGTTAATAATGGTTGATAATTGTAAATAGTAGTATATAATGGTATATAATGGTATATAATGGTTTGTAACGGTATATAATGGTATGTAATGGTATAAAATGGTATATACTTGTATATAATGGTGAATAATAGGTATTAAGTATATAACCAATGAAACATTCATCGTTAATGGTTGGTGGTAAATGATAGGTATACCCATGTATACCCTATTTAATAAGTGGTATCCCCATGAATAATCATATAATGATGGTTGATGGTTAATGATGAATAATAGGTATATCACCAATCACATCTTCCACTTTTACATAGGTAAATTCTATTATATATAGAATCTGAGTTGTGACACAATTGTTCATATGGACTATACATGGGATTTAAGTACTGTGGGAAACCCAATGAAGAAACAGAACATATAGACAAATCCTCGAAGTAAATGGAGGTGTTAATGGGACAATCATATGATGATGATGATCATGATGATGGTTGTTTGTTTGGTAATGGCGGTAAAACCGGTAAAACCAGCAATGATAGATGAAGAAACGATAACCCAATAAAGGCCAAAACAGTAAGTCATATATAGTCATATATAGTGGTATATGTGGCCAACACATACAGAAATTTACCGTTCCAATTCTAGAACATATATGGGATGGTCCCTATATTTTTCCAAGATCTTGGTTTAGTTGGTTAAACTCATCGTTACGACGTCCTCAGCAAACACTAAGGTTACGTCAGACGCTTTCGTTTGCGAGCCGCAGCATTGTGTCTGGGAGGCTATCATCATCATCATCATCACCATCATCATCATCATCACTAAAAAACACGAAATGGTTGACACAATCATTTGAAACTTGAGGGTATAGAGTGTTCGTCATGTTACATGTCGTTTTTGTTTTAGCATCCCCAAAAGCCCCAAAAACCCTAGATGATTGACCTGCAACCACCAGAGGCACCTGAAAGATCAGAACAAAAATGCATCCCAACAGCATCAGTAGCAGCCCAGTAGGGCTTTCTGCGAGGAGTGCACTCCACCAGGATGCTTTGCTGTCCTATCAGTGTTTCAGGCGGCAAAAACGGGGGTAACCTGTGAGATTTGATCACGACGTTTTTTTGACAACGACAGCATGGTTCATGCCCAATACACCTAAAATAAGCAAAGTGATGTACCCCTTGGTAACTTATCATAGCAAAATTGATTTTTACATGGCCCATTTATAGATGATTTACCAGTCAAAAATAGGGATTTTTCTCAGCCATGATGCATTATCAGGGTTACCAAAGCGCAAAGTCGGTGTGGAGCACATATGTACTTCGACACTCGAAGTACCCATGAAAAGACATGCGCTTCCGTCGTATTGTGAATGCTACCTGCAGGGCACCTAGGCCATCGAAACAATGGGGGTTTCAACCCGCCGGAAGAATATTGGTCATTGGGCATCATCATCCTAAATAGGATGAAACATAGCACATGTTCGAGACCGCAGACCAGTTTAGGCATTACTCACTACTGGAACTCCATGGGATTGATTGAACTCATTCCCCATGATTCATTGGTGAATCACCACCATCAAAATATGATTCGTTCAAGGCATCCACCATTTTCAGGATCACCCAAAAAAAACATATCAATTTGATGCGGCGAAATATCCCCATGGATATCCCAATGTTGATTCAACCAGCCGTTTTCAGGTCCAGGTGGATAGCAAGTTGGTTTTATAGATCCCATGACAAATATCTCCAAACAGTGCAATATGTCTGTTGGTAAATCACGAAAAAGGAAACAACAGCACACATATATGTGTTGCTTTACCTGGCTATAAACGAAGCATTTCTGGCCAAGGTTCTGTACCGGATTCACAAATCATGGCCAAGCCCAAAGCGGTTAAGGAACTTAAGGCCAACCTTGGCAGAGACGGTAACGTCTGAGGCCACCTGAGGCCCTGAGATTTCTCTGACCCTTTGGGTTTTTGACCAACAAATATGGTGACTTAAAGGGATTTACAAACAAAAATTGGCATCTGGTGCTTTAATGGAGAAATATAGACTTACCGACTTACCTTCTGGTAATGACTAATAGTGTAAGCGAACTGGAACATCTCCGTCTTTACCAGGTAAATCAACTAATTATTACTATGGCTTAAGGCTTCCATATTTAGAGTACCAGAGGGTCTAGGCTGCATGCACGGCTGTATCTCAACTGAAACCACCCATCAAATGGGATTGTAGCCCACTTGTTGCGTCGGGGGTTGGAATCCCATGAGGCCAATGAGCGGATGTTTTTTGCAACACTGGCCAGCGCAGTCCAGTGAAGAATGATGTGGGTGTGAACGGTACATTTGATGGAGGAGGCAACAACAACGGGCTTTCAAAGTATAAATATAATTAAATATATATACATATTATAGTATTGAGAATATGTTCAGGATATGACCTGCAAAGATTGTGTGCAACCATAACCTCCCTTCAAACCAAACAAAATGATCGAAACTGGTGGAGGATCTCTTCATCATGGCATCCCATTTCTGAAAGAGCTGAAAAAAAAGGGTCCGGAAAGTCCTGGTATCCCGTGGTATCCCAATATTTTTCATGGGTTATCATGGATTATCCTCATTTTCATATTTGTTTATCCTCATGTTCCCTATTTTTATATAGCCATAACTTAAAACTGCCCCATGTATCGCCCAAAAAAACCTAACCATCGGCGGACCTAGCAAATCCTTGCATCCTTGGCGCTTGATGCAAGTGAACTCTGTGGGGCTGATGGTCCCTCGGAGGGAGACGGTGACGAGGCCCTGGGATTTTATGGGGACCCCCTTGGGTGATTGGACCCCCCGAGCCGATACTCCCAGAGAGTCCAATAGGGGAAACGTATGGGAATGGCGGTTCTGAGTGGTTCCATCATTGGGGGTCCCTATAAGTTCCGAATCTATGAAGTGAAAGGTCGGAAAGGAATCCCTATGACTCGGAGTTTTGTTCAGCAAGTTTTAGAGCCTCTCTCTGTCCAATCCCATACCCATCACAAACAAAAATTGGCATAATTCAGTGAATATGTTGTGAATTTTGTGAATGCACACTGCACACCATGTACGAGGCTAACATTCCACCGAACACATGTAGATTCCTGAGTTGTTGTGGAAATGTTTCAACCATAAAACTGGTTACAGGATGTTACAGGATGTTACAGGATGTTACAGGATGTTACAGGATGTTACAGGATGTTACAGGATACACAAACAAAACACCATGAAAGAATACAGGCCAATGGTACGTGAACATTATTTGTGTACATTGCATACATTGCATTCAAATCTAGCTCAAGGCCCAGGGAATGCAGATTTTGTGGGAAATAGCCGCTTCTGGGTCAATGCAGCCATGGTAAAGCAAGATCGGATGTTTTTTCGCGAAGATAGGAACCCCAAAAAATAAATGCGCTTATTTTTTCCACATGTTGTATAGTTCAAAATATTTCACATAATTATATGGGATTCAATGGGGTCCAAAACCGCAAAAGCCATGCGTTTTATGTCTCCCATTTTGAGGTGTTATCCCTGTCAATTCACCCTTCACTACATATCGACGCGACGCAGCACCTTCTAAACGGTTATCGAGCCGAAAGAGTTCACTGGCACCCATGCGCAAGGTCGAAACCTGGGTTCCATTGGCAGCACGTTGCCCTCCACTAAAAAACTATGGAAATCCGTGGTTTTCTCGTTTGGAAATGACCTAAAAGAGGTGCATGTTCAATAGCTATGGTCAACTGGACATGAGGGGAATCTGGGTAATCCAGTTGCATCAATCCCAGGCATCATAAGTGCTGAACTCTTCACACATTACTGATACAACTGGTTAAAATATGGTTATTACATGTGAAAAACAACTGGGATGCATTTCCAAGTAAACAACAAAACGGACTTCAACCAAGGACACTATATATATATAGATGACATGGAGGTATACAGCAACCAACATCGGACACAGCCAGAAACATGGGATGGTTTATCAGAATCCTCCCGAAACAAAATGTCATGAATCCAAGTTGGAAAATACCAAGTAAAAAGGCTGAGAGCCCAACGTGACTATGTCATCATAGGTCATCCTATGTCATCCAATGTCCAAGTTTGCAAAGTCATTCTCCTCTCACCATGTTTTTGGGAGTAAGGTAGCTATAGCTATAGTCTCTGGGCGTCCCAAGACCATGATTTGATGTGGATTTGAGCGACTCTTGAATCATGGGGTTGGTTTGAGGGAAAATTGCAGCAGCTTGTGCATGCTTGCACCCTTTCAACCGCAACTCTCGGATTGAAGGACCATGAAGGACCCGTGTCCACCTTTGTCTTCATCGTCTTGGAAGCTATCGAACCTGATGATTACTCTATTTAATCAAACAGACCAAACTAAACTGGAGGTCATACGAGCCGGTCATATGAGCCATTTTTGTTGGTCTTTTCTGTGCACCGGCCGAGGAACACAGAGTGCTAAGAGAAACGGCGGCACCAGATTCACCTAAAGGGCTCGGGATCCCACTAAACGCATCATTTCAGGTGTTGTGGTCAAGTTGGGATGCGGTATGGTGAATCTGGGAATCACATGAATTGATTTATGGCTGATATAAATTCCATTGATATAAATCTTAATTGATATCACCATTTCATATATTATATATAACTGATGGTCAGAATGGCAAACTTACCATCCCTTGTCAGACCTAGTCGTCCATACACCATCCAACATATTGATGGTTGATAGCCATAAACATGGCAAACTTGGGGATGGTTTATGACCATTGTTTGAAGCACATTAAACCATATTCTACCCATAGTCAGATAGGGAATAAACTGAAGAAACCATATTATTCCATTTTTCCATATAATATCATATACTATCATATAATATCATATAATATCATATAATATCATATAATAGCATATAATGTCATATAATATCATATAATATCATAAAATGTCATATACTATCATATAATATCATATAATATCATATAATATCATATAATATCATATAATATCGTATAATATCATATAATATCATATAATATCATATAATATCATATAATATTAAATCATATCAAATCACCATTTTCCATTCTATCCCCATCAAAACCAGATCTTTGGATCCCGACTTTCCCAAGATCCGAAGGGTTTCAGAACTGAGGACTCCCTACGAGAAGCGGTACCAGTGGAGCTTCCAAGGTATCCATGGCGTGCAGGCCGATCAAACTGGAACCTGGGGCAGGGCGGCGGCGATACGCGTCACTGGATATCAATATAGTGTCATCAATATAGTGATGGTAAGTAAATAATAAATAAATCAATAAATCAATAAATTAATCAATAAATACATACACATATATATATATATATATCATATAACATATTACAACATATTATAACATATTGTTGATGGCTGTGAATTAGGCTATTTGATGGATTTATTGCTCAGCTAACTACGTAATTAGAAATCATCAAAGGCCACATCGATCGAGCCAAATCCCCAGGCCGCCGTTGGGGGTCGCCTGAAGCGTTAAATTGCTGAGGCACCTTTGGGAAGTGTTGAAAGAAACAAATGCCACCTTAGATCCAGTTCATTGATCTTCATTGACAAAAAACTTGCTTTTGGGATGTGATATAACTGCAACATTTCAGTTCATCCACGGTTCTGGCTGAATTATAGTGATTCACATTTGGGATGATTCCCCTTAGTGACCATCATTCCAGTGACGTCACAGTGAGGTCTTTATAATTTATACATAGTTGACCCAAAAATGAACCCTTGCACTGATTCACCAACCACCGGGTGGCCTACGGCTGACAGGACAGCTGCAACTCCCTCAATGAGACCGATGTCCTGTCGACATCCAGGGGATAGCCCAAAAAAGCATGCGGGAGCTGCTTTGAACAGATCAATATAGAAAAAAACACCGCTGAACAAATAGCATTTTGGGTGAATCCCCTTACTGAAAACATGCAAGTTGACAAACTTATTGCACTGATACATTGGGATGAATTCCCCACAAGAAAAAGCATACTCCCCAGCCGCTCCAGCCCCAACAAAACACGATACGAGTCTATGATCATCCAAATCCGCTGAAACTTTGCAATCAGTCCTCACTTTAAACAATTGCAAAGCATGGAAATGTATGCTCTATGATGTCAAGCAATACTAAATAGGTAGACGGATATCTGAACCATATACAAATAAATATACAAGTACTTGCTTCAATTATGGCATGCAAATGCCTGGAATATGTTGGGATTGCGCATACCAAACAAATGCACCGCGCGATCACCATCTGGAGCTGCTGCTGCAAATGTCCTCCTCGTTGGCAAATGCCGCGAGTAAGATGGTCCTGCCACTGTGGCACCCATCCCACCCTCCTTACATGGAGATTCCTGCCTAAATCCGGGCTGGAGAGGCTGTCATCATGCCTAATTATGCACTTGGCGTCTGCCTCTAGGACTATCTAGATGGGCATGCGGCATAGGTCATATTCCACAATTTCGAAACCAATGACCTCCGGTAAACTAACATAGCTATGGAACATGGCCCATTTAAAGTTGATTTTCCTATCAAAGTGGTGATGTTCCATAGATATGTTAGTTTACCAGAAGGTGTACAATATTGTGGGGGTATACACGTGCATAAGTCCAAGCTATTCTGACGTTCATCAGGCTACCAGCGTTTTGACCCATAACGTGCATATAATCCATCTCTGCCTGGTGTTTTGAAAGGGCGAAAAAAGAAGGTCCCAAGTAGAATAGCAGATCGGTTCATTGTCTTATTTACCTGTCTTTCGGCCCTAAATATTTCCATGTATATATATATAGAATAATCACATCCCCCGCTCATATTTAAAAAAGAAACTTATGCACCCTCAAATAGTGGAATAGAAGACCATTGGTTCCTGTTGGTTATTTATTAATTTAATTGGATTTCAATGAATGGTATTCACATAGAGCTGGAACATATAAAAACATGATGGTTCAGTCTCAAGGGAGTCGTTCAGCCCATCTCATTGGGGTCTGGGCGGTATAGGATTGCTCCCAGCCCAAAAAAATTGGGGGAAGACCTATTTTTTCTCCGAAGTGGCTATCATTCACCTCGGGGTGGAGCAAACCCATTTTTCCTATAGTTTTCCTGCCTCTGTTCCCTCAAAAACCAGATGTTCCGGGACCAGTTCCCATCCAATCCGGTGTCCATATCACATCGGTGGACTGCAACAAGAGGTGAATACCTCCATGGTTCAAATGGCAGGTGAGTTGAGACGGTCGGTCGGTTGATGGAGCTTCTCAACCAACTTCCAACGTCAACTGTTGGCTTTGTGCATGTATCGAACTCCTAGAGACTCTTGGACTGTTTTTTTAGTCAGGACCGGGGTACAACCACCTGGACAAATCCCACTCTTCAGTGATTGTTTGAGATGCTTTTGAGTCAAGACACCCACGGGCACCAGCTGCAACCCCCAATTGGTGACCCCATATTTGAGGCCAAAGAGGATGCCGACAGGCGCCACATGTCCTTGGCAAATCTGGTGGTGCTAGTGACGCTCACCTGGAGCTTTGCGATAGCCCCAAGTAAAACCATGTTTTTGTTTTTTTTACATGTTGCATACCAACCAAGGGTCACAAGAAGGTCACACACAAAAATCTAGAAAAGTCATACTGGTTGGTGGTTTCAACCCCTCTGAAAAAGATTAGTCAATTGGAATGATGATTCCCAATATATGGAAAAATAAAAGCCATGTTCCAAACCACCAACCAGCATATGATGTTATCTAAATGCCAATGTTGTCGGTTAAATAGTTAAAACCCCATCCCCTTGTTGGATTCCCCTGAGACTATCTGAAAATGCTGAAACATTGGCTGACTCCAATAGGCATGGGCTCTATGGCTGTCCAGGACCTCAAAGAAAGTTAGGGGAAAACCACCCAACCGCGCTACACTTGATTGTTGATCGTCATTTTCTCCATTAGAATGGCAATTCATAATACACACATAATATATATATATATACACGTATATACACATGGTGGCTGGTCGAAATGTTCTTTCCCAGAAGTGTGCAAAAGTCGTGAATGGGTTGGGGAACTTTACTTCTGAATCATGTACCTTGCTATGCTTATATATATATATACATATATTTATATATATATGTATGTCTAAGCAACGACCGAACCCTGTTCTCCCGAGCCCTGGAATCATGGTTTTTATAGGGAAATCATCCCCGTTTATGGTCTGAATTCAGGTGAGTGACATATCCCAACCATCCCCAACCATCCCAATCATATATATATATATATCCCAACCATAGACATATGATATTTTTTCCACACCATATCCCTTCCAACCATCCCCATAAAGTTTCAAGCATCTCAATTTGTACCTGAAATGTGGGCCGAAGATCCAGGACTGGTTCCTAAGAATTGGCGAGCTGAGACGGGATTTCTGCTCACCATCCATGAATTTCATGGGACTTTTGATGGGACTTTTGATGGGTTTTCAATGGGACTTTTGATGGGCTTGTTGACATCTTTTGATGGGATGATATAATCATAATGGCTATTACTTCATTGGGTTTGGAGCGTATCAGTGGTTGATGTATGTATGTATATATATATATATATGTATGATGTATATTCATATACACTATATATATGTATACATGTTATATATACACATGTTGATTGTGATCATCTCAGATGCCAATTCCATAATGATGCCCACCTGGCTGAAGTCGACATCTGTCTGAAAATAGTTTGTACACACCCCAATTCTGTCCGTGCACAACTAGGGGTAATGATGAGATCAGTGGAATTGTTGGTACATGTTGGTACCCTATGTTCAAGCACACCCATATATATATATATATGAATATGTATATATATATGAATATGTATATATATATATGAATATGTATACATATATGAATATGTATATATATATATATAAATAGAGAGATGAATAATAATATATATATATATATATATGAATATGTATGTGTAAATATATATGTGAATATGTGTATATATATATACATAGAGAGATGAATATGTATATATATATATATATATGAATATGTATATATATATATATATATGAATATGTATGTGTATATATATATATGAATATGTATATATATATATAATGTCGTTGTAGTAGGACATGACATGTTCAAAGCATATTTCATAACAACAAAAATGGGAGCCGTACATTTCAATCCCTTCCAGGTGGCAATCTCCTGGATGCTTTTTGTGAATCAAACAAAGATGCAGCGTAGCAAGAAGTAACGTTTCTGCAAAAAAAATGGCACTCCCCCAGCCGCCCAAAACTAATAAAACTGAAAAACAACCCAAAAACTTCGCCCTCATAGCGACACCAATCCGCCAAAGAGTCCGATCGCAACAGAAGTGGCCAACGGTGTTGAACAAGGCGAGGACCAGAGAGACCAAAGCAAGCTGAAGGAAGGCCGTCGCAACGGGATAGGGATACTTCCGAAGGCATCCAGCTCCATCACACACGCCTCAAGGGTTGTCTGAAAATGGTCCCCCTACCACTGGCCCTACCATCAATTTAAGCCATTTGTAGGGATAATATGGGACATATGATGGTAAATCCAACAATCACCATCATGAACCAATATTAATCGCCATTAATCCTAACCATTCAATGCTAACCATATCTGGAATTATACTTGGTTATCCCGTGAAAGTGAAAGGCTCAATGTAACCATTTTTAACCATCAAATTGTGGGTTCCCCGATTGACCCCACCTGGCCTTGGGCAAAGACCAGCTTGTTGTAGATCGGCACCTCAACGCAGCTCGAAAGCTGGGGGGAAAACGTGGAGAAAACTTGTCTTTTTGTTGTAGGGGTACCTCTACCGATAGCTGGTAGTTTCACATACAATACATATGTATATATATCTCTCTCTCTCTCTCTGTCTCTCTGTCTCTCATGTTCCATCTTTAATCTTGGAGAATCATCCCAAATTGACTAGCAACTTTGATCTAACAATATGATGGATTATAGTATGGTTTAGTATTTTAGTGGGGTTGGAAGTTTCCTGCGCTACATGGTTTACAGTATCACCTGCGCTCCTCCACCAGGACCATCCAGGACCATCCAGGACCATCCAGGACCATCCAGGACCATCCAGGACCCAGGAACTGCCGAGACGGAGAGACAAAAGATCACCGTCGCCTTTTTTGCGGCGGGCCGGGCAACGTTTTGTGGCGGGGGAAAGCAGTAGCAAATCTAGCAATATATCTATGTGGAGGTGTCCTAAGTCATGGGGGTATCCCAAAGTTTGGATGGTTTAGAATGGAAAATCCCCCAAAAAAGGCTGATTTGGGAATTTGGGAGTACCACCCTTTTTGAGGAAACCTCCATGATTATCAACGGAAATGATGATGAATGGGTATTTACCCTCTAGGAATCGTCGCTTGATTGTACCAGCTAGAAACATTCATTTAGTTCGGGGATGTTCCAGCTGACGCGAAAGGGTCAGCACGACACAACCTCTGAAATGCTTGCTTTAACCAACAAAAACGGAGGTATGATGAGGTTGTAATATGGTGCAATGGGACAATATAAGCAGGAATAATTACAAGGTGGTACCCCTGTTAGAGAACTCAGTTGGTTTACAACTAACATAAGTAGGGTTCAAATGATAAACATATCTGTATAGTCAATGGGGGTTATGAACCAACACACAAAATTGGAAGGCACCACAGATATGGGTCAAAAATGTGTGGAATCACGTGGTGAACATCATCAAAATAGCTGGATTTTGTGGATGTCATTGGTTTTAACCCATCATCATGTTTCTGCTATAATTTGGCAGGATTTGAGTCTGGAGAAACTTAAGCATAGCATAATACATGAATGGTACAAAACTGGCAGCACAACCCAAACAAAAAACAATCATTGCAAGAAATTGCAAGGGATTTGCGCACTTCCCTGGACTTGCGGGTTCAGATTGGTATAATTTATGTCATATTCCGAGAAACTTGTTGGGCCTGCAAAACATTTTTTTTTGCCAATGCATGCCAGTTTTCCAGAAAGTTGTTTTTTTTCATTTGTTTAGCTAGCTATTACAAATTCACACGTAACGCATCCATACATCAAATATGGCCTCATTTTTTCTGGCTGCTTTTCAGTCAAAAACCTTCATGACTATTTCCAAGATACACCTGTACTGTACTTAGATGACCGGACATGTTGATAATTTCCTCTGCGTCGCTCTCGCATGCACGTCCAGAAAACAGGTCAAAGATCTGAACTTCCAGTCAAGACGGTGAAGATTTGAGGCATCGACCGGTTTTCTGCCAACACCTTTGACAAAACCAACTTGACCGTCCCACCAGTGATGACCTGCTAGTCGCACTGGAAAAAAAACGGATCTCTTGAAGAAAACTTCTAAGCAAAACCAAACCGTCTTGACTCGTTAATGTCTAGCGCATTACATAACCCTTTCCCCCTACTGAATTCCCCCTAATTTACTAATTGAAAGCCCTTTATGGGGAGATGAGCCCAGCGGCAGTGGCAACCTTCAGTCTCCAAAGCAGTTGCAGTCGATTCAACCCTTGCAGCGGCGCATCGCTGGCCATGGCGACGCCGAAGCCCCGAAGCCCGAGGTGACCGAAGTGGACGCGAAGCGCGTCTTTTGGGCTTGATGGGTTGATCCAACCCTAGCGGGACTACCATCACCCCCAATCATGGGATACTATAGGTATGTAAACATGATATATATATATATATATTATATAATAGATAATATTATATATATAATATATACTATAATATATCTATATATATATATAAATATATTACGTATATTTGTTTACCATGGCACATGGTTACGTTGCGTTCAATCCAACCCCCCTGAGGGCAGCTGTGCCCTGGAGCCATTGGGGACCGTTATGCCGTTGCTTCATCCCGTGGATCGAAGCTTCAGACACGTTCCAAGTTGCCAAGCAGCTTCCCTGTCTTGTCCGAAGCAGTGGTGGATAACTTGCTGGTCGTAGTGGTTTATGGGTTTGATCATGCTTAATCCAAAGAGGCCCCACTTCTGGAAAAAAAACTTCTGTCCTAGCTCTCTATATTGTCAACCAAGGTTTTGCTCCAACGTGGTCTATCGGAAATGCCTGAAATGCTTGTTGTGGCAAGGCCTCAACTGTACGCCGGAGCCACAAATCAACGGCCAGGTACACGGCAACAAAATTCTACGACTTATACCCTTCGGTAGTCGAACATCGTGGGAAATCTTCAAATTGAATTGAGGTTTCAATGGGAAAATCATTCGTAAATGATGGATTCTCTATTGACATGTTTGATTTGCCGGAGGGTAGCCGCTCAGGACCAGAATACACTAGGATTTTGCAGCACCTACTTACTTCAAGAACGTAGATGCGGTCAAAAGTCTAAGACTGGATGTGTAACAAGACCCTTAGGTTGCACGCTTTGCATCGAAAGTGAATTCAAGTATCATCACTGGCCCTTGGAATATCCATTCATAGATGATTTGATTGCTAGTTTTGGGAAGGGTTTAGCAGAACATGTTGGGAAAAGCCTCATTCCATCCGGTGAATCATGATTTTTGCCACACATGCCATTAGTTGCGATAAATCACCCATCGACTCATGGGGATACCCTTTGGTAAAGCTGATAGTAATTAGAAGAGTTTGATGTAGCATATAATCAACGATATATCATGAATATCACTTGAGTCTGTCTCAAAATCTGAGATACCGAGATACCTCAAAATAGCGGTTTAATGGGAAACATGACAGCAAGCATCGCATTTGAGATACCCTACTTTCCACTTACTGCAAGTTGAGATGTGCCCATATATCTATAATATATATATATATGTATTATAAATACATATGCCAACTCACAGAAAGTCTAACATTAAAAGAAACATTAAAATACATTACCATCTGGTTATTTAAGATAGCCACGGAAAGATCCACCATTTTAAAGTTCGGTAAACCATCTATTTCTATGGGCCATCTATACCATGGCTATGTTAGTCATAACCAGAGGGTAAACTATACTAACTATACCGCCCTGCGCTGCCTCGAACAAATCCACCCAGACGTCCTGGAGGGTTTCCCGCCTGGCCACTGTTCGTTTGCCCTCCAGTGGCAGTACCTGGGCGGATCTTCATCCCCCAAAAAGGGTGATTTAATGGTGATTTATGGTGATTTAATGGTGATTTCTAGGTGATTTACTGGTTGGTGGTATACCTACCCCTCCGAAAAATATGAGTTCGTCAGTTAGGATGATGACATTCCCAATAGATGGTAAAATAAAAAATGTTCCAAACCACCAACTGGATCAAAAACTAAACATCCACCAAAACAATGATGTGATATGAAATTCCCATATATATCTAGTCTATATATATATATATGATTCCCATGAATCAGCATAAAACAACCATTAATCAATGGGAACAATGGGGATCACATATGATATATACACTGTAAGTGAGGACATGATTGGATCAATGGATCCAACAGGATCCAACCAGGGAAAATGTCAACCTGAAACCATCCCAGAAATCTTAGGCCCTGCCAAAAAAAACCCTTCATCCACTTCCAGGAATCTGGGTTTGATTGGGTTTGAAAGTATGGGCTATACACCATGATAATCATGAAATACACCCATTTTAGATCATTTTAGGCAATGTTACCCCCAAATGGATCATCGTGATTGGGGGTACTCGTTTTTTCCAGATTTTCAGCTGGCCTGGTAGTGGTGTGCCATTTTATTGAAGGATCAAACACCAAAAAATATACTGATTAGCCTTATTGTCTAAATGTTCGCTTCATAAATTTGATCAATGGAAGACATTGGAACCTGCATTTGGAAGCCAATAAGCTAAATTCAACTCCATTCAGAAACATGTCTCAGTTTTTTAGATGGTCCACGAAGTTTCTCCCTCAAGGATTCCTTCCGTGCCCCCAAGCATTTTCTGCTGGCATTTCCCTGTTGCGCCCCGCAGCTGTCCCCTGTGGTGGCAAGTTGGCATCCAATTTGTGCTTCTCGTTGCAGTCCAACGTGTATGTGCATCCCAGTGCATATAAAGAGATATGTATACATATATACGTACATATATATATGTATAATAATATATGATGAAGGTCAAATGTATAACATGTATATATATAGTATGTATGGTATATGTGTATAAATAGAATAATATATATATATATACACTGTTTCAAACGTTTATTATATAATATTAGGTATAAAAATATTGTATATATATAATAGTAAAAAATCTAATATATAAAAAAAAAAACGTTGTGTATATATATATAGCAAAGAATATAAAATACATAATGTATAATATATGAAATAGATAATAAATCATATATAATGTACAGTGTATACTATATTAACTAGTTTACAAAATTTATAATACAATGTAAATATATATATATAGTTTATAAAATATATAATATGTAATGTATGACATATAATATAACATACACTATAAATGTGTATATAGCATAGGATGTATAAATATAACAATCAATATCCAAAAAATAAAACATATAACATATCTATCAGTACTATACAATAAAGAATAATGTGTATATATATATGTATATAATTATATAAATATTGATTAAATGTATTTCATAACCCATTACCCATGAATAAAGCCCCTAATGAATCCATATATGACCGGACAAGTAAAATCATTTTGTTATAAAGACGAAGGTTCGCGAGAGTTTCCAGTACATGCGCTTTAAGAGACACCTGAGGTGATAAAAAAAAAACGTATAAATTTGCTTATGCCGCTTTCACCTTTTTTTTTCTTCCTTATCGTTTTGCAGGCTATCTGCACTTATCACAATCAAAGAGGTTTATGCACATGCGGCCGCCATCCAAAAAATCATTCGTTCAGCTTCCATTGACCTCGGGCATTCATACCTTTGCTGCAAAAACGTTTCTTGGAGCAAACTCACCGTAGCCACATGTAGCCACAACGTGTTTAGAAGAGGACCTTTTTTTTTTAATGTCTTTAGGTTGGCTGGTTGTCTCCAACGCTGGGGTTGGCATAGGCTGGCTGGTTGATTCAGTCGCTTTGGCTAGCTGGCTGGCTAGCTGAGTTTGTTGTGGTGGCTGGCTGGTGATCAATGGCAAGGCGATCAATGGGCCATGGTGTTTGAAGATGGCTTTCAGGTTAATTTTGTTATCGTTTTTGTTATCGTTTTGTTATCGTTTTGTGTCACGTAAATTCTCACCATTTGTGGGACGCACTTACACTTGGTCTTCTCAAAAAGGATGGAGGAGCATCAGCAGCTGCATTCGAACTTCCGGAAGTTACTCTACGAGGCGCGCTCCGCTAACCAAACGCAATGCAAAACATGTGACTAACATGGATGAATCCCATACCACCACAGGAAGCACATAGTGCCAGAATCATGATGGTAACATATGTTGACACATATATTCATATACATACATATGTATACATATATATATATATATGTATACACACATGCATGTATATATATATGTATCTGTATATATAATACTTAGCGTTATCGTTTTTTTTTCTTCCTTATCGTTTTACGGTGAATGGACTATACCCGGTACAAAAAGGCAACCTGCAATACTAAATCTAATTGACGGGGTTTTTTTAATTTCCTCACCTTCCTTTGGTAGCATTGGTCTCCATGGCATGTAGCACCTGCGGATGATGTTCCTTAACAGGCAGCTGTGAACCGTTTTCAACCTGACCCAGAAGATGATGAATGTTTCGTTTCTAGGCTGTACGGTTACCTATGAATCATCTCATATTGATCATTGGGTAGATATGTGCGTTGGCATTTGTGCTCTGGGTACTCATGAAATCTGTATTCGCATTTAAGACATCAAATCAAGAATAAAAATACCATAATTTCGTTTGAGAAGGCACCAACCACCACCACAACAATGCCTGACGTGGTGCCAGAGCACAAAAGTTCGCAAGTTCGCACCGACCCCCAGCCCGCAAGGTCTTCCCAAGTACCCTCTGGGAATCCAACCATGAATAAACATGTCTGTAAAAACAAAGATATTGCCCTCTGGTAATTATACAAATAACTCTGGAAAATCACCATTTTATAGCTGGGAAAATCCACTATAACTGGCCATTTTCAATAGCTATGTTAAATTACCAGAGGGTATATTCCCTTGCAGGCTATGTTCACAAGACATCTCATTGGAGACGCACCTCACCCGTCACCGTTGTCTGTTCAAAGTTGTTCATATCCAGGTGTGGCTCTGACAATGGGTACCCACCAAATAGCCATTAAACAATGGAAAATTAGAACTTACCAGTTGATTGAGGGAGTTTGCCAAAACTTCTACACAAACGTCAGGTTTAAACTGTCATGTTCCCAACTTTTGAATGGCCATAACTTGGGTTTGTGTTCTCCCAACATGTTCAAACAAACCCGTTGGTCCATGAAACCATACCTCTTTTGTTATAATTAAGATTTGATTTTCACTGTTTGCGGCGGTTAATGGGTCAAGATACACCATCAAGGGCCTTTCAGATTCCAAGTTGGTTAATAACCCCATCAAACTATCGACATATTTACCATAAATGTTACTTAGCCTAGTGATAAACTAGTTGACCCATTGTCCTGGGGCCCCTTCCTGAAAGGTGGTGTCCTATATATAGCTAAACTGACTTATAACATCTTATAACTAACATGTTGATTCTATTAAATTGGAGTTCTAACATCAACTCGTAGCTTCACCACGAGTTGTGACAGTCCGAGTTTTCCACATCAGCTCTTGCTCTGAGGGCTGGTGACCCGGTTGCCATTTGAGACCCTCGGTGGTTTTTCCACCGCTGTGGCCACGGCAAATTCGAAGCCCGCGTCAGAGATGTTGACCTGGCGGCCCCGGCTTTTTGGGCATAGAATTCAGCAACATTCAGCCACCATTTTACGGTGATATATGATAATATATACACATATATGATTATATTTAAATATATTCAAATATATATATATGTATATTCATGTATATATATATATATATACGAATATACATATATATATATATATGTTTTTTTTTAAAAAAAATATTATAATATAATATGATTTTTTGTTAAAAAGAAAAGTGAAAAAGTAAATATAATATTATATACTAATATATTTAAAAAAACAATATAATATATATAAAAATAAAATACAATACAACATAATATAATATAATAAAACAAACAAAAATATATTATAATATATTAGAAAAAGAAAAAATATTATTTAATAACATTTCAAATAATACTGCAAAAAAATAAAATAACAATATAAAATAATTGAAAAATATAATTTAATAAAACACAACAATATAATACAAAATAATAAAATATATCAGACTATAATATATAATATAATGTAATAATATAATATTGAATATTAATATATGAATATATATATATAACTAAACAAATAATAATACACTTTATGTAATATTATATATTTGTTTAAACATAATTAAATTATATTATATAAAATTAAATGAAATTAAGACAACATATAATTTAATATAATAAAATATAACATGATATAATTTAATATAAACAAAATAATATATGATAAATAAAATAATAACTATATAGAGAATGTAAAATATAATCTATGTTCATGTAACATTAAAAATTATATTATAATATACTATTTGTATATATAATAATACATATATTAATATATGTATATATATATATATTGAAATATGTATTATATTAAATATGTATTATATTAAATATATTATATAATAAGTATTTTAATCTATATTGATATATAATAAAAAAATGAAAACTAATATATTGTATACAACAAATAATATTAATGAATATTATACAGTCTAATATGACATAATATTATCTAATATAATATATATATATATATGTATAAATATGTATAAAAATATGCGTGTATTATTTACAATGGGAATATGTATGGGAATATCAAGCAGGATGGGTCCACCACAAGTTGAGAGAAAATTGAGCCCAGGCGGAATATGTTCTGTTCGTTGCACGCTTAAAATTTGAGGAGATTTGACCGTAAAAGAATGCGCTTTCACGAGAATCAATGAACATTTATGCCTTCAGGGTGTGAAGCATCAAGACTGGGATATGACCATCAACAATTGCCATGTCATCACCAAAGTGTGAGGATTTGACTAGCAAAGATCAAGATATGGCCATTGAAAATGGGGAGAAATAGGGAGAGTCACCATCACCGAATCATCGGGAGTTTCACCATCATCGAAACACTAGCTTCTGTTGATACGGTTCCTGATTTTTTGTGATTTTCAATGCAGATGATCTTTGAACTTCTCAAGATGGGCATAAGGGACATATCTAAGGACTGAAAAGTGGAACATCTGAAACCACAGAAAGTTGGCTCAAACTCGGGATCCAGAGGCAATCTATTGGTCTGGGTTCGACGTTTTTTGATTGTTACCCTGTTCTTGATGCAGAATCTCATGTTTTTGTGGATGTTTTCAGGCTTTCGATGGGGTAACTTCCAATTTTTGATGGCTGAACTATGTTGAACTCCCATTTGGTGCTTAAACATCCACAATCCATCCGGACCCCTCGCTTTCCCCCTCGCTTTCCACCTTGCCATTGCTCCCATCGGCAGGCACTCCACGAGACCAAAGGACAGGAGACACCGCTACACCTGGATCGGTGGAGATGGGGATGGCTCAACCCCCAAAAAAAGAATAAACTTTTGGGGGATGATCATCCATCAACCAGCTACGACTTAAGATACCGTTTGGGTACCGTTAGGGGTACCGTTTAGGGTCAAAAGACCCACAACCATATGGGGATGGGGCAAAACTGATTCAAGAAATTACCCCATTCACCTACCGAGGTCTGGCCATAGATCTTGAACAGCTGCGGCAAATTATAAGGTGCCTGCCAAATTTGCAGTCCCCCTGTTTATTGTTTGAACATCCCAAAAGTGTTGCCAGAATAGATTATATATTACCTATGAGGGGGCGGTGAATATCAGTTTGAGCCCATATGCAGATCAGGGGAAGACTGCTTTGGGCGGGCAAATGCTTGCAAAGATGGCCCCCAAAGAGCCAACACTGCACAGTACTCCTAGCCAAGCTTATGGTAGGTGTATCCCCAACAAGATGCCCAACAGCGTGCCACTGGTGGATGTCAGAGGTTTCCGGCATTTCTATCCATGTTTGGATTACCCTAATTAAGTGTCCCTCCTATCTGATTTACCTTTGAAAATGGTGATTTTCCATGTTAAATTGCCAGAAGGTATATTCTCATTTAGTATCCCATTTAGTTTCCCACTTAGTATGTTGGTGTAAACAGCCTCATCTAGTCTCCCATTTAGTACGCAGGCGTAAAAAAAAAGGGTTAGCATCCCCCTTTATAGTTGGTGTAAAAAAAAACACTCATTTAGTCTCACACCTTATAGTTGGTATAAAACAAAACTCATGTATAATAGTAAACCACCTTATAGTTGTTGTAAAGTAGCTCATTTAGTATCCCTTCTTATAGTTGGTGAAAAAATACCTCAATTGATATCCCACCTTATAGTTGATTATTTTTACCCCACCTACATACCATGTCTCCACGTCGCTTTCCCCAGCGCAAAACAACGTGGCGGGGCTCGCACCTGTTCCACCGCTCAAGGGCTCGTCGCTGCTGGTGATGAAGGCGGGCCCACGAAGGTCGGTAATCTGTCCATCTACCTGGCCACGATGTTACAGACATGGGAAGACTAGAGGAAACCCCAGAAAGTGTATATTATATACTATAATTATATTATATATTATAATTAATTATATATATATATTTCTATGTGTGTTTTGCTATTGGACCACCATGCTTGGTGGTTCATCCCATTTAATAAGTGGCTTATAACCAGTTCACCCTGTTTTTTTAGTGGATTAACCGTATACTTATCCCGGAATCCCATTGAATGAACCAGGGTGGGATGAACCACACCAAGTAGTGAGTTGTGCTTCCTTCTATTTAGGACAGGAAACATACGGTGGATGGAAGAGTTTGCATCTTGGACGGTAGAAAACTTCTAGACAATGGGATGAACCACTTATCCACTGGTGCAGGATTTCGCTGGCCCATCCACTTCGTATGGAAAAATAATGCGTCACAAGGTATTGATCATAATACTAATCATCTATGTCATAGATTCCCGCAACTGGCCAGGGACCTTGGGAAATCAGAAGAACATCAGCCACTGATGAGAATCCCGTGGGGCGGCTACCATTCTAGTCCCCCAGTACTTGAGGGTATAATCATAGTATAATCATAGATAATCACACAATTAATCATAGTATATCATAGATTATCAGAATCATAGTATCTCATAGATTCTCACATAATCATAGTATATCATAGTAATATAATAGTACCAAGTAACACTAGTGAATTTCATCACGGTGATGATGACCACCGGACCCGACAAGTTCCAGTTTCCAGGATCTCCGTCAAAAGACCTTCGAAAGGGCCGTGTATCTCTGCACAATAAACCTCGATGCCGCGATGCCGCGCTATCCCAGCAACAGAAAAGTGGTGTAACTCGATATTTTTGTTCAGGTGTTCTATAGCTATGTTATATTATGGTATACGCTATATTATTATGTTCAATTATATCAGAAATCCAGAGCGTTCATGGTACCTCTGGGTTAAGCTGGTTGATGTTCGCTGATATGTAAAGTATCTTTGAATGGGTTTGAAAGAGGAAATTCATTCGTTGCAAAGCTTGTTTTCCGAAAATCCGAAAGGTGTGATCAAATCAAGTGTGAATACCATCAATTATTGCGAAACAATTGCTGTATCACTTTTTTTCTCGAAGATCCCAGGTTCTGTTGGATATTAAACCTTTCCAGAAATCTGACAACTCCAAATAAAATGGGTTTTCTTCCAATTGAACCCCCTTCTTCCGAAGTGGATTTCTGGGTTTCATGGCAGCAACGGGAAGATAAACCAGGCCGTGGACTCACTATCACCACAGATTACTGGGGATTGAATATATATATATATATACATATATATATATATACATATTTCTATTTAATGTATTAATTTTCAATTGATTATGCTAAATCATGTGGTTTTGTTTGCGTTTTGACTATTATATTAATTGTCACGAATTGTAAACATGTTAAACATGTTCAACGATTGGAAGTGGCACCTCCTAGTACTCTAAGCTGACCATGGTGGGGAAAAAACCATTTAGAAGAAATAAACAATCTGGTTGGTGGTGTTAACCCCTCTGAAAAATATGAAAGTCAGTTGGGATGATTATTCCCAATGTATGGAAAAACAAAAAAAATCCAAACCACCATCCAGACAATGTACATGATTGGACTGATTGTTGCAGGAAAACTCCTCATTATTGAGCTATTCTCAGTTGCAAATATCCTTCCCTGTACCAAAGCATATCTAACCCATGATGTCCGGTTAAATCCCAGATGGATCTGTCCAACGGAAAATTACAGTATCACTATTTCACTATGTCCCTAAGATAACAAACAAAATTGAAGCTGTCATCCCCGCTTGTGAAAACGATCGATTTGTGTATGTGTACATATTTCTTCCGTTTGGTACTGAAATCCCCATATTTGAGTTTGTGTGAGAATACAGCATCCAATTCTTTCCCCCTGTTAAAGACAGCAATGGCTGCAAACTGCGGGTAGGCTCCATTTTAAGACACACCCATATATCATATCATACACATATATGTATATAATATATATATATATATTATCCCATTGTATCCCACTCATGATCTTCATTTCCTTCCCAATCGGGTAAATTAGAACATTTCACTCACCTGAAATACCATCTGGGGATGATTCCCCGAATTCTGAGCATCCTTCCAGGTTCGGTTGCAATTAGGTCGTTATAATTTACCCAGACCATTGTATTCATATATACAAGTGTAAATATATATATATATACATATATCCATACATCATGGTGTAACAAATATTTAACAATCATTATGTGTATATATATATACATACATGTATACATGTGTACATATGTTTATACATATATATATATATATTACATATATATATATATGTTAATGGTATCCCCATATTAAACCACCCAACGCATAGCCGGTGCATCCGCCAAGAGACGCTTCAGGCTCAGCCGCCACCAGGGGCCGTGCCGCCAAGAAATCGTTGCGCGGCAACTTGGCGCCGACCCAAACAGCGTTGCCTGGCGCTGCAACGTGAATGGGGCCTAGGTCTTGAAGACGATCGCTGGGTGAAACGTATTAAATATGATGATATAATATATATATATATACTATACCTACATCAACCAAATCCCTGAAAAAAACGGGTCGCGCTATCAAAACCTGGTTTTCAGCCAGTTTCTTTTTGGTGGGTTTGGTTGATCTAGGTACATAATAAATAAATATAAATATATACTATATATATATATTCAATTTTATTCATGTATTTATTGTTTAATGTGATTTAACAAATGTAAGCCAATGTGGATCATCATTCCAACTTTAGGCTGGAAAACACAAGATGCTTGAAACCACCAAGCAGAATCAAAGATGACCCCCCAAAATACTGGTCACTGGGGTGAACATGGATTTCTCTGAAAAGCAGGTACCCGGTACCCCAAAAATGCGATGGTTCATCATATTTTTCCCACGAAACCAGTTACCAAAATCTACAGGAAGGGTATCCAGATTTGCAACCCACCTACAAAGAGAAACATGACAGGTGTCCTTAAATTTGCCTTTATATGATATGGCTTTATACAAACCGATTCCGGGAATGAAGATTAGATAATGGCTAATGTGCAGAGCTGTATGCTATAAGAAGCGGGTAAAACAACTGGGACCTGGAAGGTAGCTGAGCGGTGTCACTGGCGATTTTTGGGAAATCAAACAAACGACTATATTTCCTAAACCTGCAACATGCCTTTTTTGTTGATATTTTTTGTCGTATAAATTCCCTCATTCCTAGGCACTGTATGTCAGCATGAAGATCCTGGTTATAAATGGGCTATGTAGGGCTAGTCCAATGATTAAACTGGGGTTAAAAAGTTATAACCCACTTAATAATTGGGATCAACCACCAAGTATCGTACACGATACATGTGGACAAATTCATACTGCTATCATAGTATGGCACATGCTGGGTAACAGGAGTGATGTGACTGTAAAAAGGGATCCCATGTTTAGAATATATCAGTGGATTTGCGAGTTAAAGTTGCCAGCGAACCAGGAACACGTCTGCAAACTTCAGGAATCATCCAGCTGGATTTCACTAACACACATGAACTTGATCAACACAAACTGGAGATTCAGTCAACAAAATTAGGAAGGTTGACCAGCAATGATCCAGAGATGGGAATAGGAATAGCATGGAGATGTGTATCAACTAAGATGGTGTCATATGACTATAGGTTATTTGATGAGTTCCAAATTACATATTATATACCATCTGGCAAGCAAACATAGCAATTGGAAAATCCACATTTTTCCGTTGATTTTCCAATTAAAGCCTCCATCGGTGGTGCATTTCCAATGTCCACTTGCCACGTTTGAGGACACCGTAGGGTTTGATGGTTGCCACAAGATAGGTCAGTTGGTTTATGCTGTAACTAACAATAACTACAACTGTTAAATAACTTGGATTCATGGTGGATACAGTGCAGATTGGGTTATCAAGCAGCTTGCAACTGGGGGCCCACTGATCTGGTTAGTGGATCCCAAGCGCTAAGATGGGCTGCCAAAGATCATCAAACCAGTAGTACCCTCTGGACAATGAACATAGCTATGTAATGCTCTCTCTCTATATATATATACACACAATATCTTCTATATAAACATATATATGGAAAACATCACCGTTTTTTATCGAAGGAAGTTTAGAAGTCAAACTTCCGACAATATGGACAGATGGAAAAGCAGAGGTGGGAAGAGTCAGAGAAGAGAAGAGCAGAAGAGAGAAGATCAGAGAAGAGAAAGAGTAAGAAGAAAGAAGATGCAGGTGCGCGAAAAGGTAGCAACGTCGCGAAACACTGTGTTTTTTTCCAATGATTTGTGGCTCCGGAGGGTCGAAAAGTAGGCATCCATGATAAATTTGCATCCACTTACCCCATCCCCAAGCTTTACCCATCAAAATTGACGTAGTGCTGTTGCTCCATACTCGGGATGGAATCCGTTTACAGCCCCAAAAAAAATGGCGTAATATCTGATCTGAACGTACTTGGTGGTGAACTTCCCACGAATCGTCAGTGGGCTCACCCCAGTTAGCTCAGCAGGGTAAGTAGGCTTAGTCCATGTCACTGGCATGAACTAACCCATAAACACGATTCCTCTACTGAACCACCAAGCAAAGATTACACCCAACATCACCCAACATTGATGGTTATACAAACCGACTCAAATATGGAGATTTTTCATGGGCGTGTCGGATCATATCTATGTATATGTATATATTATATATTACTATTATTATTATTGTTGTTATTATTATAATTATTATTGTTATTGTTATTATTATTGTTATTATTATTGTTATTGTTATTATTATTATCATTATTATTATATTATTATCCTTATTATATTATTAGTATTATTATATATATATATTATATGATATATATATATATATTATCATATTATATTTTATTATATTAAATTCAATTAAAATATATTATGTTATATTATATTATATTATATTATATTTTATTATATTATATTATATATATAATATTCTCCAACACATATTTCTGGATAATTGCTTCAGATATGCCATTTCCATCCATGTCCCCACTGAAAAAACTGGATACGAAACCGGCCCGTCGGATCCCCTGGCGTCGCCTCCCCTGCCATCCACACGCTTCACCACCACATTTGACTGATTGCCTCAAGGTGAATCCGAAAAGATTGGCCACAGCGGTGGGATCGTCATCACTAGTTCTATTATAGATATTTATAGATATCTATAGATTACTAGTCCCATTATAACTTTATAGATCTTCATCACCATGGTCATCATGGTCATTATGGTCATCATGGTCATCATTTCAACAGCCATACATTGCAGCTTTTAAAGCTCCCGAAATCTGGGCAATTTTGTCGCCATGCTGTCGCGTTACTTGGGATGTCGAAGACCGTGTGCAGCAACCTCGACGCTTCAACTGAAGCCGTGCAACAAGCAATGGCAGTTGCATAGCAACCCCCAAAAAAGATGCGGAAACGGTTCATTTACCACTACTGTTAAAAAAAGCTTAAATTATATTTATATATACGACTGGATGCTATTGGATGTTAAGTTTCTTTCCTTCTTGGGGGTGATAGAAGCTGATTATGCATGGCATTGCCACATTGATTCATGCCAGGGCTGATGTGGGTGCCATGATACCTTTCCTCCACCTAACCTTCACTACTGGAATGGATAAAGGTACCAACATATTGGGCAAAGTGTCATAATGGATAAAGGTACCCCAAATCATCCCCAAATATCCGAACATTAGATCAGTAAACAAACAATTAGATCAGTGAGACCTCTGGTGACTTGGGGATCCCCAGTTTAAGAAATCGCCATATTTCCTGCACTACATCACCCTACAGCTTGGGGACACAAATCCTCCGCAATCGAATCCCAAAATAACAAAGTTTGGTTCAGCAAAGCCATTTGTAATTACATGATTTGTGATAATTTGTGTATATTTATATTATTATGTATATATATATATACATATTTAAGAATTATTTATATTATATATATATATCTATATGATATAAATATATATATATACATTCATTGAGAGTCTAGGGCATATCTTTCTGCCGTCCGAATGTTCCCTGTGACTTCGCCGATGATCACCCAGTGGCTGCGGATCCGTTGAAAAACTCCGCGTGGGGATGGTCCGCAAGATGGGCTCCTGGCAGTGGTCTGAGGATGACACATTTACCCTCTGGTAAACTAACATAACTATGGAACATTACCATTTTTAATGGGTAAATCCACTATGAATCACTATGTTCAATAGCTATGTTAAATTACCAGGAGGGTAGATAGAAACAACATCGCTTAATAGGTAAATCAACTATAAATGGGCCATTTTCAATAGCTAGCTATGTTTGTTTGCCAGAAGAAACAACTGGTTGGTGGTTTCAACCCCATGAAAAATATGAGTCAGTGGGAAGGATTATCCCATATATTATGGAAAATGAAAAATGTTCACCTATTATATAATATGTATTAATCATGTGGTACGAGTAAACCCAACGCCATAAACCTACCAACTGGGGATAATTTACACCATGTATGTTGATTTTCGTAATACGAGTAATCAGAAAGATGCAGACCTCTGGATGAGATTGCGAAGTTTGTATAGCCATGTGGGTCACCTACTGCAACATGTTGGTAAGGTAGTTAGCCATCAGAACCTTGAAGGAGCAGAAGATGAGGCAGAGAGCTGGATTTTTCGGGGCAATGCCGCCGCCGACAGAGTAGCAGCAACTGCGTTTCACCGTTTTCCAAATCTGATTTTGGTGTGGGAACAATTGTACCGAGATGTGGCCAACGTAGGAATTCTCAGGGATCAGATTCACAAAGTTTTGATCCAGGTAGGACAGAAGTCGTTCATCAGTCCGGCCGGACAAACTGACCGACCAACGGCACCAGCCAGGGTAGCTCAAGAAGAAGTAAAGCTTTTTGTCCCGACACTTATATCAACCAGCCAACTGTCCCGCAGATGGAGCTTCCCTGAGGCCCAACAAGTGGTTGACTGGCTGATGTCTATTCTGGATGAAGGAGTGACAGCGAAATTTCTGAGCTGGTTCCAACTCAGCATTCTGTTTGAACATCAAATGAGGTTACCGGGAATTTCTTACAAACCGAGCAGTAAGAGGTATTTCTTGGCGAGCAACGCAGACGGAAAGAATTTCGTTAAGCGCACAAATAACTTTTCCAGGTGGGTGCAAGGAGTTTTCCCACAGTGCAAGGTGCTCCATGTCCGACCACATTCCTCAGCCATCTCTTTTTTGGACCATGTGTCTCTCCATGAAGGTAAAGCCATATGCGGTGGAGCTCATGGAGCAATTGCTTTCCCAGCACCAGAACACTTTCACACAGGTCAGGCAGCTGTGTGCAATCTGATTTGTTCACTAAGGTCTCTCGCGAACCTCCGCAAATATGCCGAGGGAGCCAGACGGTCCGAAAATCTGTTCGAAAATCTGTATGTTGATTTTGGGAATGGTAAAAATTACGGTATCGGTTTACGTTGGTTTACCATATTATATATATATATACATCTATCTAAGATGTAGATATAGCAACCCCAAAATACATAGAAAAGTTGGAAATCTGGAGAAATGAGATGCATATCATCGAACTAGCATCCTGGAAACCCTGTTCTATCGCTTTGGGGTTCCCAACTATGGTCTTGTTAAAAAGGTAACATTGGGACATTGTGATGATATGATGTAACCAGGGGATTTTGGAAGTACAGTAACCTATTTTTGGACAAACATGGCCAAACTTGATTAGACCAATGGTGTTCCCCATGAAAAACGGGTACTTTGCTCAAAATGTCAGTTGATTCTTGTTAAGCAGCTTCACGTATCAGGTGTGGGTCAAAAATATATGTATATAATGCACATATATATATATTATAAAGAATATCATTATAATGTGTGTGTATGTATTGTATATGGTGTACAAAAGGAATCAATTTTGGACTGGAATTGACCATCTTCCACATAGAACAGTGCCCGGGAGATGCCGGTGAGTCTTCCGCGACTGGGACTGGGATGAAACACACAGTCGGACTGAAATAAATCTCATAAATGAGGAACCCCCAATAGCTGGATGGTTTATTTCATGGAACATCCTATTAAAATGGATGATTTGGGGGTACCCTATTTATGGACCCCCCCATATAGTTATAAATGTATTGTTGGTTTCTATCGTTGTCCCATAAACCTTCAACATACAATCTATTACCAGCCTTTAAATCATAAACCTTCACCATACAATCTATTACCAGCCATGAATTCATAACTGGCTATATAGATTCCTATCAAATGGACATCGGACAATGTCGGACACCCATAGCGATACTCGCACAACGGGCACCCCAAAATCCAGTGGTTCATCATGGTTTATCGACACGGAATGGCCATAAGGTGGGATGTGTCTGTATACATATATACGTGTATATATACACACACCCACACCATTTTCGGACATATCTAAAATCACCTTGTTGGTTTATATCGTTATCCCAATTCTAGCCCCACTTCATGCCAATAATATCCGAACATCTAAGGGATTGAATCATAAAGCCAGTAAACATACATCTCATTGACTTCGCAACAAGATGCCGCCTCACCGAGGTAGTGTTGGATGAGTTTGTCCATGTAGGCGCACAGCTCCTGATGAGCATTTGAGGGTTCTTGTGCAGAAATATTTGTGGTTCAAATGGAAATCCCCTCTTATATATATATATATGTATGCATATATAAATATGTATACATATATGATTACATATGTGTGCATGTATGTATGCATGTATGTATGTATGTATGTATGGTTGGATGGATGGATGGATGGATGGATGGATGTATGCATGTATGCATGTATGCATGGTATGCATGGTATGCATGGTATGCATGGTATGCATGGTATGCATGGTATGCATGGTATGCATGGTATGCATGGTATGCATGGTATGCATGGTATGCATGGTATGCAAGGGATGCATGGTATGCATGGGTATGTATGGGTATGTATGGGTATGTATGGTATGTATGGTATGCATGGTATGCATGTATGGCTTGTATGGCATGTATGGCATGTATGGTATGTATGGTATGTATGGTATGTATGGTATGTATGTAATGTATGGTATGTATGGTATGTATGGTATGTATGGTATGTATGGTATGTCTGGTATGTATGGTATGTATGGTATGTATGTAACGTATGTAATGTATGTAATGTATGTAATGTATGTAGTGGAATGCAATGCAATGTAATGCAATGCAATGCAAAGTTATGTTGTTTTATGTTGTTTTATGTTATGTTATGGTATGTATGTATGTATATGTATATGTATGTATATGTATATGTATATGTATATGTATATGTATATGTGTATGTATGTGTATATGTATGTATGTATGTATGTATGTACGTACGTAGGTATGTATGTATGTATGTATGCATGTATGTATGTATGTATGCATGCATGTATATATACATATGTATGTATGTATACATATATACATATGTATGTATGTATACATATATACATATGTATGTATGTATGTATACATATATACATATGTATGTGTATATAATATATATATATATATATATAATTATATATACATACACATTCTATGGAGGTTTAGTTCTTTGGGACAATCAACGAACTAAACTTTTAAATGGTGAATTTTCCAGCCTGCGTCATGTTTGATGACACCAAAGGGTATACGGATAGAATCCAATATACCCATTACAGTAAAAGTCACAATATTTGAGTTTGTCAATATACCGATGAATGGTTAGTTTCATCCAACTTGGTGGTGAACTATTCCGGAATTGTGTTTATGGGTTAGTTCATCCTAATTAATGAAGTGGGACAAGTAGGGTTAGTCCTGTTTCTTTGAACTAAGCCGCTTACAGTTCCCTGGGTGAACCAAGTGAACCACAAATTAGCAACCCGGCAAAAAAATGTTTTTGGTCAAATCGAATCCTGATATTGAATGTAAAATTATATAAGTCTGAATCTGTTGGGTTTTACTATACACCCTACAATAAGGAGGGGATCCACTTGTGACACGTCTGTTTTCGGGTCCCAAAAGCAGATAGAAAAGGATTTCGAGGATATACTAGATGATATTCACTTCATAATTTCCGGTTTCCAATTGGTCTATAGTTGCTATAATCATCTGCAACTCTCTTTGATACCCTGCAACAAAAAATGAGCTGTGTATTAACTTACAGAGTTTAAGCCACCCATCCCGGAAAATATGGTGAAGATCATCCCAGATACGGCTGGATTGTTCTTCGGCTTCAAAGGGAAAACATGTTCCTCCTCTGTTGGTTGAATTCCCAAGGTTCTGGTAAATCTACAGGCTTCACAACCCTTAGCAAAATGTCAAGTATTGTAACTCATTGTTTTATTTGTTTTTCTTAAGGGTAGATACTATCTTTAATAGTGACTGGCAGATTCCGCACTTGGCTGGGTTTTCGTGCCCCAGCAACTGGCAATCTGAACACTTGCAACTACATGACATAACGCAATTTTATACATGGTATATCCACAATCATTTAACTATATGGGTATATTTGGGTTAAATCCCCGTTGCAATCTTTTGAGCATTTCACAACATCTCATAGCTAGGTGGCTGGGATTCGGGTGATGCATATGGTATATCAGTGCATTTCAACAGTATAAAACATTATAAGACTATAAAGGCAAATGCGAATATGGACAGATTTTGGATTGGTATTGTTCTTGTAGGTTGTTTAAGCTTATTAACACAATGGGGGACTTGAACAACGTACCTGCATTATGTACAATATGTGTATATATATATATGAACAGATATAAACATGTCTGTGTGATGGGCTATGTGATGTATATACCTAGACCATCCTAGACCTTCCAAGTTCCCCAACAAAAAGGGATGAAAGCATTGAGGCCAAATTCCTCATCTTTATTTGTACTTCTCATTTTTATGCAAGTTCACATGAACGTTAACATCCCACCCCATCCCCCCCCTACCCCATCCCGCGTGTGCGTAGCATCAACTGCTTCTGCAAGTTCACATGAACGTTAACACCCCACCCCACCCCCCCACCCCATCGTATGTGGTTCCAGGACCTGGGACGAGCCTATATATACATATAGTATATATATATACTATATATTATATATATACACTATACATATATATATAATATAATATATATATACATATAGTAATATATATATATATATTAGTGTGTGTATATATAATAGTATATATGTATGTATAGTATACATCGATATGTACAGTATATATCTTAAAACCTTCCCTCGGTTATAAACCACTTCCCATGCATGGACTCCACCACTTACGTCGACGTCCCACCTCACAACATCGCGGTCCTTGTCCTCAACGAGCACCAGTCCAGGCCCATTCGCCACCTCTGCAGGATGCCGCCATCAAGGCTGGTTGAATCCACAAAAAAAATCCAACTTTTCCACACAAGTTGGGATTTTTGTTGTAGGACATATAGTGGGATATATCATGATATATATATATATATATCACCTAACAACAAGGGATTGCTAGCATGGGATTGATGGTTTGTTAGATGGTCCTAGGTATATTCACAGAACAAGGATTGGGTGACTTTGGGGAAGCTGACAGCAAAAAAAATACAGCATCTTTTTGGATGGTCCATTGTATTATATTATATTGACAAATAATTGGACATACTGTGGATGGAAGAATTCCGGCACCAGTTGATAAGTAGTTTATCCCATTATTTAGAGGGTTTCAACCATCCAAAGTGGTGCAGAATTTTCTATTCTAAAGGTGGGTGATTCCAAACAGGGAGCAAATGACACAACTGTTTTTTTCCCTGCAACAAACAAAATATAACATGCTCGTCCCTGAAAATGGCAAAACATCACCCAAAACCATGATAGAACATGTTCACAGCCTAAGACATGAATAACTTCTGAGTTGAAGCTTGGGCTACCCCCCAGCCACTACAGTACTGGTATAGGGCGTCCAAGACCAAAAATGTAATCCTGCAGGTGACAGGCATCACGGCAAGGTTGATCAGCCAAGGTAGAGCTACTGTCATGGCTAACCTTGGATATCCTGCTGAATTGTGTTTTAAGTTTTTTGCATTTATAAGCTGCCTAGTATATCCCCCAGTTACAGCTTGACTCTTCACCAGCTGATCTTTTATAATGGCATCAGCCCAAGCACAGGAGGTCAAACCCCAGTGAATGGCAATTTTAAAAAGGAATACAGCAATCCACCCCTAGTTTTAACAGATCTCAACATGAAACCTCTAAAAATTTGGGTCCTAGAAGATGATCTTCCCACTTTTCACGTGGAGAAACTGTATGACATTTTTGGGTTCTTCATTTTGGAGGCAACATACCCAGCCAGATTCCCAGGAATGAGCCAAAGGTCCCTGCCTTGACACGGCCCTTGTAGTAGGCTTCCAAGAGCCCTGGCACCTTGAGAAAGCAGAAGGCTACGGGTAACTCCAACCACAGATCGATGGGGTTAATCGGGGTTAATGAGAACATATTAAGTTTATGGTTTAGTTGCTTTGCTGGTTTTGTTTTAAGCTCCGTCCTGCAATCGTGCTTGCTGCCTTTGCATCGTCAATATATTCATGTCCGCTGCTATCTACATGATCCCCATGTTCACTTTGGTTGTGTCTTACTGTAGTTGGTGCTTTGATTCCAGTCTTACTACTTCTAATTTGTTGGTTTATCATTTACATCCCCTCTTCTTCTCACTGGTCAACTCATGCTTAGTAGGGAATGGGGAAATAATCTATAAAACTAACTGTCAACAACCATCATCCCATTCCCTCATTCCGACTCTTCTTTTGTTAGTTTACTATTTAAAATATGTTAAAATAATTTACCCTCCGGTAAACAAACATAGCTAATTATTGAACATTGCCATAGAAATAATTGATTTACCCATTAAACATGGTGATTTTCCATCGTTTTTTGTATGTTTACCAGAGGGTACATTCCCTCCTATTTCTTCTTCAAACATGCTTTTGGAGATCACCTGCCGCGCCGAGACACCCCTTGCTTGCCCTCCATCAACCGTTGCCAGCCCTCCTTGTCGTCGGCCCGCAGCATCCGAAAGAGCTGGTTTTCTGGGCACGGAGCGATGGGCCGAAAGCGATTTTTGTGTTCTCTCTGGGACTTGGGATTTAGGGGGCAGTGCAACTGTGCCAACTGCATTTTTCTGGAAGCGTGCGAGCTCCAACTTTTCCATGGTCCCGGATCTCCGCAAGTTGTTTGTAGACACAATCTTTGTGAATTGATGGTCCCACGATGCCACCTACCTAACTTTGAAACATAGAGGTGTATATTATATTAGTTTGATCCGTGGAATTTGAACATGTCTGGGGTTTACAAGACCTTTGCAAATCATAAAGGTCCATCTGAAAACAATTAGGACGCCGCATAAATGGAATGGTTTGATACAATTCTATAGTGTCCGACAATGACCAGTCAGGGGTTCCTAGGGCCTAGTCCTAGGGCACAAACAGTGCCCCATACTCAAATACTAATGTTTGAGTCCGTCAGTTTGATGGTTCACAGTTTTCAACATACCCAACATGGTAAACACGCCATGTTTGAATAGATAAACACACATTGTTTCATGGCCAAAGAATGCTAAACGCACCTCATTGTTCACCCACTGCCAGTGACATCCTCCATGTGTCATCGTTACACCCCACATCTGCACTCAAATCCAATCCGTTTCAATGTTCAAGCAAATCACCAAACTACCTGTACGTTGACAAAATACACGCAAAAAAAAAAATACCCAATTTGGCATCCCCCATCTCAACATCAAAATCATCAACAAAACATGGCACCAAACCCCGCAGCTTCACCAAGGCGCGCGCAGGCTTGGCATCTCCCAAGCCGCCACAACTCAGCTGCTCCACCGCGTCCCGCAGCTCCCTGGCCGCCAGGTGTGCCCGTTGCGCCTGTAGGGAGCTCTGGATTCTGGAGGGAGAAGACATGGCGGGAAACTATGGGTGTTTACCAGGAATTCTGGACATGAAACTGTGGAAAATCCTTTTTTTTTGCCAGGAATCGTGCGGTTTGAACTGTGGAAACCATGTTTCTGTGTTCTAACTCTGGAAACCGTGTTTTTTTTCGCCAGGAAAAAAATGATTTTAATGTAAACATCTGAAATGATGGACATAAGAAACAACAATGACTTTCGATGGATTGATCTAAGAGTTAATGTATGGCGGAAAGTTGAAATCATGCAGTTGAAAGTTTGAATGTGGTTTTCTTTTTTGTTCGAAAAGCCTTCCTGTTTGCACTGATTTCTTCGTCAAAATACATGTGTCCAATACAAGATATTCCAAATCCCAGAAGCCGCAAATGTCACATCACCTCACTTAACGTTGAGCTTAACTTAGGTTTGCATCTCAGTTTGTAAGTGGTGTATTTGAAAGTTTATAACACATATATAACCCATGATTATAATACATATATAGATATGTAAACATGCTACAAACATAACCTGTATACACAACAGGTACAGTATATTATGTATATATACATAAATTACCCATGTATAAGTGGGGATATTCCATATGTACAAACACACATATCTTATAGTATGCAATATTCTTTGTTCAACAAAAAAACACACTAAACCTTTCATAGTTCTACCATGGAATGAAATGGATTCACGTCCCATCGTATGTACGTCTTATACTTCACCCAGGTACATCCCCACAAAATCATTGAAATGCTTGGAAAACCATATAGACATGTGTATATATATATATAGTGTATAATCATTTATAAAGTGTTGTAATCATTATACATCCGCATTAATGCGGTAAGCCCGTTAGTAAACCGAATGCCATAAACCATTCCCAAGTTTGGCAGTTGTTTATGACAATGGGTTTTCCACATCAGACCATATTCGACCGTCCAGATACCCATGAAAATGGATAATTCACTATACATATCTAAAAATACATATATATATATAAACCCATTACAATCATATTTTTAATCATGCATAACCATACATAACCATATATTTAATCATTTGATATCCTAACGATCTCATCAAAACATGTTGACACCTGGTTGCTCTGGGGCCACCCGGAGGCTCCGCCTCAATGGGTAGATTGCTGAGCTCCCATTGCTGCTCCAACTTTTTCAAACCTGCGGTCGGCTGACCCCAGGGATATTGGGCAGGATCCAGGAGATTATACATATATAATCATATATATATATATGACATTATAAATAATAGTGTGTGTATATATATATAATCTTTTTTTAATAACATATAGTAATATAGAAATAAACATGTTTACCTTTGGTGAATAAATTCTACTTGCCTTCGGCGTCCGGCTTGTAGTGATAGTCCCCAAACGTCAACTTGCCGGTGGCCACGTTGTAGCGAATGGGTCCCTGCGTCCGTTCCTGCGAACTTTTTTTCTTGGGGAATGACTGATCCAATTTGCAGTTTTCATGGAATGTCTTGGAATGTTTTGGAAAGTCATGGAATGTCATGGAATATCATGGAATATCATGGAATAAGCTGAACAAAATCCCCCGAAAAGCAACAGAAAAACCACCCGAAACAATGTGGTTTAGTTGGTTGAAACGTCGGGCCGAGTGATAACTTGAATGCTATGAAACCACGAGGCATTCAAGAACTTCCGGATTATTCCAGGAAAGATTGCCATGATCCCGATCCCCATCATGTGATGTTTACATAGCAAAAACACATTAGCTGAAACCCGCAGGCTTTGTCGGCCCCAAACCAACTGTGCAACCTAGTAGAAATCGATGCAACTAAGTATTTCCTTGTCATACCCATATATATATATATGCATATTGTATATTATCAATGTATTTTCGTGATTTTTCGTGCACGTGTTGGGTATCTTCCCAAAATGGTTTCCTGCACTTGTCCTTCAACTGTGAGAAAGAATGCTTAGTTAACACTTACCTTCGGTCATTAGGAAAGAATAGACATCTGAATTGGGATATAGCTCCTTTTCACTTCTTTTAACTATGATTATATATATATATAATATATATAATATATATATATATAATATATCCACATATACCATCTTATAAGCTAAACACATGCTCCCCATGTGTCCAACGCTTTGTTCAGTGGGTGCCAAGCGTCACTTTGATTGGTCCCTTTCTCCGTCCAGGTCCATATGAGTTTGCCACCTTTCATCTGAAGAGAACCTCGAAGCAGTTGCTTTGGTTTCTAGCATATGGGGTTTCCTAAGTCATAGGGGTACCCCTAGTTCTCATCCATTTATAGATGGATTTCCCTTACGAAATAAACGATCCAGCGTTTTTGGGGTACCCAATTTATTGAAACCTCCATATGAACTATCAAACATGGTGATGTAACCATGAAAATTGGTTGTTAATGGGATATGATTAGGATATCATGGGGAAACATTGCCTTCCGGTAATTTCACATAGCTATGGAAAATTATCAATTCATAGTAAACATGGTGGTTTTCCATAAGTATCTTAAATTTAAGAGTATCTATATTTAATAATGGGGAACATGACATGCATGATCTTGTCAGTCTCAACGATCAATTCTTTGGTGTACAGTTTCAATCAAATCTAAGATCCAGCAAATATGCCATATGGATGGACCCCGAAAAAAAAAAAAACGAAATCTGACTATATATTCCCGGGATTGTCCCGTTTATACTTGATTTACCTATTAAACATTGTGATATATGGTGATGTACCTATAACCTAAAATTTCCAGGAACACAACTTATGTAACATGGGTAGATGGATTGAATTCCGGAAATTCGACAGTGGTATCCCCTGATCCCGACTGTGATCCGGTCTTGTGAGGCCGACTCGGGTCTGTCAAAATGGCGAATAAAAAAGGGAAAAGGATGGCAATTTTTGCGACAAACCATCAATGGGAGATCTTCAGGATCCTAAAATGGATTTACTGTACCATATTTTTGGCAATATTTTGTGGGATATTTCCTGAAATTTAGGCCTTATATAGGCCTTACATATGGTAGGTACCTCCAATTTAGGTTCCTGAAATGGCCATTGAAACCATCAACTCTTATGTGAACTTTTGGGCTACCAAATTTTGAAAGAAAACCCCAATCTCAGTGGCACAACTGATAGCTGAGGAGCTTTTATTGCCTTCAGTGTCCAAGAAATCCACTTTGCTCTTCACAGACACCAGGGATTTCTCATTTCTGGCGGCCTGGGCATGGCTTTCGCTCGGGTACATCATCTCGGCCAACCATGATAACATATCGTAACCATGACTATTTTTTACCATTACAGTAAAACATATCATAACCATATTACCATATACCATGACAGTATCAAGCTTATAACATGACCATTGAACGTATTGAACATTAGAACATGTGGAAGCATCATAATCATGATACTGTGAATAGTTGCAAAATCCCGCATCACAAAAAGGATGGTTGAAACATGTTGAAACCTTATGAATAATGGGATAAACTGGGAGTCTTACCACCTATAAATTATGGTTCTGGATTTCGCAACCATCCACCGTATAAAAACCATAGAAAACCTTATTTTGCCCATAAAAACCATAGAAAACCATAGAAAATCTACATTTGCCCCAGCGCCTTCATCTTTTCCTTTGTTTCCATCTCCTCCGGCGCTCCAAGGATTCACAGCAAGTTGGTCAACGTTTACACTTTGCGAACTGGAAAATCCTCATGTTTCAGTTCGGTAAATCAACTATAAATGGTAGGTCTGGTAGGTAAATCAACTATACATGGGCCATTTTATAGCTATGTAACAAATTACTATAGGGTATACATCCCATTCTACGTTCCCTTTATTGGAAACACGATCACTAAGCACACTAAGCTTTGATATATTCAATGAAAAACAAAAAACGATGATATTGATGTTCTGGAAAACGATTGATACCCATGATGCATCCCTTGATTCATATCCCATGCCGCAATGATGGCACAATTCCCATCCCGCCAGTTAGAACTGAGCCTTCATCTTATGGCCAATCAACCATCAGTTCTTAAGTAAAAATCCCCAAATGTTTGATGGTTATACATGAAATTCCTAAAATAATCCTCACAAAATGATGGTTGAATCATAAATCGATGAAATCACCAATCAACAGCTGTATTCATGACACACTATCAAGCATATATGGTATTATGTCATTATAATAGATGTATATATATATATATATGTATATGTATATATCATGAAACCATTAAGCTTGAATATAATTTAAATCCCATGATCTCATGGGATAAATAGTTCAAAGATGCAAAACTGCAATATAATTAGATCATGGTCTGAGATCAATAAGATCTAAGTATATCAACATAATATCGGACATATACGTAATGACATTTATAAGTGTATATATATATAAATACACCCTCTGGTAAACTAACATAACTATGGGAAATCACCATTTTTAATGGGAATATTACAACTCTTTCTTTCACCATTTTCAATAGCTATGTAACAAATTACCAAAGGGTATATATCTGGGTAAATTAAAATATTTCACTAACCTAAAAATCTGCGGCCATTTGGGGATGATTCCCCTTACTAACCACGATTTCCAGTGAGGTCGCAGTGAGGTCGCAGTGAGGTCGTTATAATTTACCTATATATATATATGCATATCCCATCAATCCCAGTGACTCATCTGACCTTCTCCCACCTCTCCCAAGGGACTATATGTACCCATTGTATCCCCAGAAAATCTCCTATGGCTCCACCAGGTCATCAGGTCATCAGGTCACTGCTGACCGGTCCTCGTAGGCTTCAATCCTTTGTCTGGCCTCATCGATGGCGGAGCGCAGCTTGGTACCTGGGCCCGGCAAGAGGGTGCCTTTAAGGCCTTTAAGGCCTTGGAAAAAAATGCATGTTTCATGGCATTCACCAATAATACATGTATATATATATATCATAATATATATATATATAAAATACAGTGTGTATATATATATACATAGGAATTTAGTGGAATTTAGGGGATTTGTTTCAAGATCCTTAGTGGGAAAAAAAACATCGGATGGAATGGAAAGCAACCCAGATTTCACCAGATAAGGACCACAACTTGCGAACTGACCAACCAGAAAGCGTGGTTTCGCTGACGATGATGGGATTCTTGTTACGGCCATCTATATAGAGGTAGGATATATATATATACATACCAATGCGGAACCACAAATGGTTGCTTACATCTGGATATGGTGGCACTGACCGATTCAAATTTTTGGGGTGCCCCTTTGAGATGCACTGTCGTCGACACCTGTCGTTTGCTTGCCGTGCCAGCAAACCAGAACGGGTTGGTAGGTTCTTTGCACAACCCTCCGCCAGAACTTTCCATCGACCCATTTCCCGGAACATAGAAATAAATCAATCTCTGGTTGGTGGTTTGAACCCCTCTGAAAAATATTAGTCAGAGTCAGTTCGGATTATTATTCCCAATATATGGAAAAATAAAAAATGTTCCAAACCACCAACCAGATCTGGTCTTTAATCTTTTCAATGTGACTAAGTATACCAAAGTTGTCTTCAAAATGACCGCCACAGTTGTCCACATTTCAATATATTTCAATGTAATGTGGGATCCACTCCAAACCTTTTAACCATCCCCAACCAATTAAGATTGGGTGCTAATTACACCATCCTCAGATATCCTCAGATAGTATGTTTATGACATTGGGTTTCCCACATGAAATTCCACTTATCAATTTTTCCATCTAATTGTTGTTGGTTGTATCCCATTATTAACCATTATTCGGATTATTCACCATATATCCATTGTTTGGTTCCATTATATCAATTCTTACTGGTTATATAATGTTATATGATGTTATCCTGTATGATGTTGAATCCCGTTACTAACCATCATTAGCCATCATTCACCATCATTAACCATCATTAACCACTATTAACCACTATTAATCATTATTAACCACTATTAACCATCATTAACCATCCTTGTTATCTCCCCCAGTCATGCTATCTCCGGCCATCATCCGCCACGGCAACGTCAACGACACGGCAAGGCGCTAGCATGGCCGGGCTGCACATCCGTAGGCTCCGACAGCAGCACCACCAGACCCACCGGTTCGGAGGTTTCGGCCGTTGCGGTCTGGAGGGAAAGGCTGGAGGGTTTCCATCAATGGGGGATCCCCAATAGCATGGTTTATTTCATGGAAAATCTTAATCTAAAATGGAGAACTAGGGGTACCCCCATGACTTAGGAAAGCTCCAGATTAGGTAGAACAGGTCATAATCACCATGAAACTCTGGTATGGATTGGTGAATCACGAAAACTAAATTCTGATTTAAATGGTCAACTATAGGTAGAATATATCTTAAATCATGAAAACTATAGTTATTCAATCACTATCAAACCCCCAATGTAATTGGTGATGCTAAATTAAGTATGGTTTAATCACCGTCTAACTCTGTGTCGTCTCTTTCTCCGTTTCTCGTTTGGCATTGTCATCCCTCGCTGGTGAGACAACCGGGTTAGCCAATCGAGCTTCATCCATGCCCTGTTGGCACGGAAATTCCCCCAACTGCATACCAATGACAAGTCGTAGCAAATGTTTTTTTTTAAACCCGTGCTGGGCGTCCTCAGCCACCCAAGTGGAATTCCGATTGGTGCTTTCAACTTTTTCTACACACAATTCATGGATATGGAAAGCTGAAAAAGTTGAATCATCCAAACGTAAGCTTTCAACTTGTTCAAACTTTTTCTGGTTGGTGGTTTGAACCTACCCCTCTGAAAAATGATGGAGTTCGTCAGATTGGATCATCATCCCAACTGGGGAAAAAACAAGTCATGTTCCAAACCACCAAGCAGTTTTCTATGTTGGATCATCCTTCAGAGAAAGATGATGGATCCCAGGATGGACATCTTTAGCAAAGCCGTCACACCAAGCCGCCTATCTCGCCTATCCCGATATTTTTTAAGAGTCCATCAAGGCATTAAAAGTATGAACACTAATATCCACCATGGCGAACATAGCCAGAATACCTGTCATCCATTTGTCATCCCGACATGAATCTGGGTATGCATATGGTAATTATGCTAGTACCTTGCGGTTTCAAACCGACCCCACTGCTGAGAGCCACAATCATAAACCATCCCCAAAAATGGAAATTATTATTGTGAACAATGCCGTAAACCTAATGGTAATCAAACATGGCTAGCTGGGAAATCCACCAGCTGGAAGTTTATAGCGGGGAAAATCATGAATAGTTGTTGGATTGTCCATTAATCCATGTTTGATTACAGGAGGGTCAATAATAAACCATCTCTAATAGCAGCATCCCTAAATGGTAGTTGTTTATCGCATTGGATTTACCACATGTCAACCCCGGATTTTTATCCAACCCCTAGGCTGTTCACTTGGGTGGGTACTATGAGTGGGACCCCCACCAGTTCTTAATCAACCAGGGGTAGTTCATCCGGGGTTCTCGGGATGATGTATGTCATAGCCACCTTTTTGTGGTTGATAGCTGGAGATTGTTACTTCTTATTCACTGAAGATTGTTTGGAAGTTATATTAAGTTTTAATGTGGTTAAAACAATGTCATAAACATTCATAAACTACCCATTTTGGAATGGTAACCATACCACCCATTTATGGTGAGTTAGGAGATGGTTTATGGCATTGTTTTAACCACATGACTCCTTTATGTACATTGATTATACCCCCATCCCTAGTGCTCCTGGTTGGACTCCAAACACCCCGAAATCTCCGAGACTGCATTTGGAGCAGGGCATGATATTCCCATGATACTTTGGCAATTTCCCCGCAATGTAAATAAGATGCTTGATTAGCTATAGTCCCATAACAAGCCATAACATATTTCCACATTGTACCCTGCCGATGGTTGGTCTTATACCCCATAATTGTGTTGCTTAAACCCGCCAAATGCTAAAAATTGGTGCCCCCCCATAGTTGGCTAATGTTCATTTGCCTGGGTTAACTAGGGTCATTAGGTGACTACGACTATAGTTCGATGGGTAGCAATGAATGATTTTTGTTCTCTCTGTTTGGGGGCAAAACATGGATCCAAACTAATCCCAGCCCCCATTCATATGAAACACCCTCATTCACGGTCCCGGACACGTGCTTTCATCCCCCATTAAAAAAAACCTGGTTTATGAGGGGTGTTGAATGAGGGAACAGATTATTCAGTATATAAAAATCCTTCCAAGTACTATATCCCACTATATAATCCGATTATATAAATATCTCACTATAAATATCCCACCATTTTTCTATAGCTTTCCAACCCTGGCCCTAAACCCTTCAACCTCCCCTGTCCGCGCTACCTTCACCGTCCTCGCGGGCGATGCGGGGCGTCTTGGACTGCGCCGGGGGCTGCGGCTGCGGTCGTGCCGCGGCGCGGCGGCGTTGCCGGCGGCGGCGGAGCCCGCGGTGGCGTTGCCTGGGAGGGGCTTCCGCTCCACCAGGAAGACGCGGCCGTGGCGGACCACGAGCCTTGGAAAGTTCGGGAATGGTGGGGATGGGAATTTGAAGTTATTATACCTTATGATAGCTCATTATTCATTTTGTTATTGTTAAATTATTAACCTTATTTTCTTAAAAAGTTATTAAACAGTTTATTACCACCAAAAATTGGAAGATGATTTCAAATGCTGGGCTTAAGGTACTTAACCTTCTGAACAATTCATACCTGATTGGGTTTCACAAATCACGATGAGAATTTAACAGAGAGAAACAAACAGCTGAAACTAAGGAGTGCTTAATGCATGAAACTTGGGATATAAAACCATAAAAATGAATAAAGGTACATTTTTGGATTCACCATGATCAATTGATTCATTTAACGTAACAAACTCACAGCAAACCACTGTAAATTACCAGCCAAACATGGCAGTTTCCTGTAAGTTCTCGTTAAAAACCAATTCTGGGACGAAAATGTGTGATACCACATGATACCACATGCTCAATGTGTGTAGGTAAATGCTGGCAAATATGCCATCAACGTATGTGATAGTAACTATGACCAGGTTTATACAACTGGAATAACATTGGAACATCATCTATGTACAAATGGATGATATATGGATGATATTATATATTAGTTGTTCGGGGTGGCACTATATTTAAGGTATTTAACCATGAGCGAGCATGTTATTTTCACATGATTTAACCAACAAAGATGGGTTTAACAACTTCACGGTTATATGATAGATACGATACTATGACCATGTTTGCTCGGAAATACCGAACCATCATATAGAATCAACTAAGTGAAACATATGAAACATGTTTGCATGCAATGCTTGAATGTGGCAGTCAAAACCCGAAAGACGGGCTTTGATGTTTTGGATTACCCTTCAGTAATCAGTCACATGGCTTGCTGGAAGATCACCCCAACAATAGTTCGATTATTTTGCCAGCTCCAAGCCCTCTATTTTAGTGAATTTTCCCATATATTCCTATAATTATTCCATGAACACCTCCATGGCTAGGCCACATGCATCGGGTCACAGTACCTTTTTACCATCGAGAATCATCGAGACTTTCATAGATTCATGAAATATGTATACCCTCTAGCAAATTAACATAGACTCTGGCAGATAGGGGTTGGACGATTAGTTTCCACTAAAAATGGGTTGTTTTCAGGGTCTATGTTAATTTACCAGAATGTGATGTTCACCAAAAATATCATGAAGGAATCTAAAGGATTGGCAGGAATATCAATATATTATGAAAATTATAATAGATCATATTCATATTAATTATAGACTATAGATATTTTGTTTTTCATTCACCACTTTTTCACCAATATCATTGAGGCTTGATATGCACGAAAAATCATGTCATGGACGCCCCAGCCTCGGTTGATCCTCTCTGGGGCCCTTTTCATCTGGCAACTGCACGGGAACCAATCCTGCAGAACAAAAGCGTTGCCGATGCCATGGGACATCACGGGACTGGGCTTGGGACTGGGCTTGGTTATATATAGCATGAACAAAAACTGGGACATACCATCTGGTTATGACTAACATAGCCATGGAAAATCACCATGTTTAATAGGTAAACCATCTATACATGGGCCATTTTCCATGGCTAAGGCTATGTTAAATAACCAGAGGGTAAATGTTGCATAGTGTTGACCACTCACTTCCAAAGTGTCTTGCTTGGGGTCATATGATGGCCGGTGGCATGTGAATAAATAAAGTGCAATTTCATAACATCCCCGTGTGGCTATGAGTCAAAAGCCTGGTACCCAAACGGTACCCTAAGTTGTAGATGGTGTATGGATCTTTTCTTCCCCTTTTTATATGGTAAATTCATGTCATTTCATGGGTAACTTGACCCATCCCCATCTGGTTGGTGGTTGAGCCCTACCCTCCGGTAAACTAACGTAACTATGGACAATCACCATTTTTAATGGGTAAATCCACTATAAATGGCCATTTTCAATAGCTATGTTAAATTACCAGAGGGTACCCCTCTGAAAAATGATGGAGTTCGTCAGTTGGGATGATGATTCCCAATATATGAAAAAGTAAAAGCCATGTTCCAAACCACCAACCAGATCAAGTCGTGTACCACAAATCGGCACTCAGCACTGCTATAGTACGAACCCAAAACGATATAGTTTTACTTCACGCCATTCGTCCCACCGCCCCCGCGGCATCCCGCGGCACCTTTCTGTCGCAGCAACGTCACCAGGCGCCGGTCTTCGTTGTCGTCCCGGACGGAGCGGTGGTAGTAGAGAACCACCACCTGGAGCCGGCAAGCGGTCAAGCCGAGCACGGAGTTTTGATAGATAGACAGACAGACAGACAGACAGACAGATAGATAGATAGAACTTTATACATAACTATCATTAAGATTCATCAACTATCATAATAGTTATATATAACTATCATGAGCTATCTATATTTTGTGTAGTGAATTAGTGTAGACTTACATATTACATATATGCATAGGGTATATGATATATAATATATATATACACCTATATACATAATACATAGTCAAACATTCCACGCATGAATGATCTGGAAAGAGAGACATGTGGCAATCCATGGAAGAAACACTGGCAGTCCATACAATGAACCGAAAGAATCACCACGTGTAAACATCTTGTAACATCAATGGAACCCATGGGGGGTTAGATTCACAACACCACAATATCATCACTCTATTGGCTTTTACGGGACCATTACCTGACCGGAACCTGAATGAGTTCAAGATGAAAACAACAATAATTCATCAGCTTTCGTGGGAAAAGATTGGCGAAAAAAAACAGTTCATATTTCTATATATATATACACCATTTCAACTTGATTCAAACCATGATGGGAAAATATTGGCGAAAAAAAATAAGGTTCATATTTCTATATACCATTTCAACTCGATTCAAACCATGATATACAGATTTCTACAAAAGAATGATTTCCATAGATTTCTATAGATTTCCCGTGGAATTTTCCAGGAAAAACACAGACCTCAGACTGCTGACCTTCTCCCCCTCCGCGACGTTTCGTTTGTAATGCGCGGCCATCTCCTCATAGAGCCTCTACAACTCGTGGGTGCGTTCGCAAGCACCGAGTTTTCTCGGAGGGGTTTAACCATGGTTTAACCTGATGAACATTGTGGGTTTCCTGCTTAGCAATCTGAGAAGAGTAGATATATAGAGTGTATCCTGCATCTTCCTAGATCTAAGGATGATATTGGATGGTTTCATGCGCTTTCATGGGGAAATCAACGAAATGTCAGCTGGATGAATCCGGTGGTGGTCGTTTCATGTAGCTGCAAGTGCCATAGGTTTAGTCCTTCGTAGCGTCAAGCACCAAGCAGGGACCAAGCCCAAACAAGTCATTCCTTACATCGTCTGGATTAATAAATCATATGTCACACATGTTCACAACCTGAAATAGAATCAGACTGAATAAGACTGACCAACATGTCTGCCATGTCACATGGTCATACCTCTTTAAAGCTATCCCATTGCTGAGATTTTTGATGTTCCACAATGGCCCAACCTCTCCGCATTCTCGAGCTCCAGAAAGGGCTTAAACTCGGGGAATCCTCTCAACACAAGGTTAATGCAACTTTGGTAGCAACCACTTTGGCAACAAAAGCGATGCAACCTCAAGATTTCTCGATTTGAACCTTTAAAGAAGGCACCAGGTCAGTTCGACAAAACGTAGAGCTTAAACCGCTGAAACCAAGGCCAAAGGAGCAACTGGGATATCTTTCAACATCATCTCACTTTTAATTGGTCGAATTTGAGTAGCTTGGCAAACCTGCTATCAGTATACCTAGAAGATACACATGACATACTCTGACATCATCCCTCACTGTGAACACATGTCAGCTGGTTCATGGTGATGTGCTCTGTGCTTGACCCAAGCATAAACCAAAAACCCAGGACCCAATTGTAGATTAATCATCATCGGGTTTACCACATAAATTAACTCAAACAATGGAGCAAACAAAACAACAATCCATCAGTTCATCATTATTTCTCACGTTCGGTCTTACTCTCAACACATCTCAACACCTCAAATACAAGGGATACAAGGGGGAATGTAGTCAGATAATGTCAGAAGAGGCAAATGACCAATATTTTCCCACGGTTGTTTCATTGATTTTCCCGGTCCTTTGGATCCGCTGGCTTCCCCAAGCAGCACGGAACGGGCCAAGGGCAGATCTCCGAAGCCCCCCACGTAGCCCAGGTTGTCCTACGTTCATAGACATGTTGACGGAATACAGTAATGACTACATACATGGCATCTTAGCCCGATTTTGTTGGATCGCTCTGGTGCTTTTTTGAACTATAGTATATATATATATAAATGGATATATTTGCCCAGAAAAGTGTCGATCATTGCAACTTGACTGCAACTTGCGGGTCAAGGTAAAGAGATCTTCGCAACAGGAAAGAATAGTTGAGCTTTGTACACCGCGAAGCGTTGAAAAGACATCCCTAAATTGGGCGCTATTGAAGGTCTGGATAAGGGTCTTGAATCAAAATTATCCACATTTACAGTAATAGATAGGAATCTCAGTTGCTGATTGTACAGCGGAACCTGATGACGAGACTTACATATCTTACACCTTTGGAGTGGCTTGGCGCAGCGCCAGAACTGCCAAGGACGTGCTGCAGCACGTCCTCCACGACATAGAAGTCATGCCCATTTTCCGAGGGGCCCCGGATGATGTCGGGTCCATACCACATGTTCCAGTAGAGCTTCTTGGACTCGCCCTCCTGGGGATGCGGAATCGGAAATCCCATTGAAACATGATATTGATGCCCAGATTTCCCAGACTTCAAATGTATAGTGATGATATTTTATATAATAATAGTGGTATATATATAATGGATTTCCCAGAATCCTCAATGAAAATCAAATGTATAGTGATGATCTTAATGTCCCCACCACAGACCTTACAACTACAAGCATTGTCCAAAAATGTCCAAACAACCATTACCACAAACCAATCCTCCTTCCCCATATCCAGACCCTGACGTAACTCAGCACCAAATTTCATCTGCACCATCCAACGACATCCAAGTCAGCCTGTTAGTTAAGGTAAACTGGCTATTTTGTGGCTGAAATCCGAACACCAAAACCAATCCGGGCCCCAGGAATATCACACAAAACGAATAATATATTCATGTACACATATATGTACACAATTCGAAACACAAAAACCAATCAATGGTTATCATTTAAGATGGTCATTACCAAGTTTATTGGTAATTACCTTTGATGTTATTAGCAAACATATAGCCAACATAATGAACAGCCTCAATAATCCTCAATAAATGTATTGCTGTGAATTTGAAGTTGAAGTTACATATATATATATATATATATGTGCGTGGGCAATTCAAATTTGGTGTATATATATATACACACTGCAAGAGACATTTACAGCATTACAATGAAAAATACGTGCATGCACATAGTCAAGGATATTACAAATTAACATATATATATATATAGACTGCATTATATCTTCCTATATCTTCATATTGATCATATTGACAAATATAATGATATAGGTAAAAATGGTCGCATACAGAAATAACTGAATATCGTGAACTTTGTGAACTCATTTATTTCTTGGGCCAGATATATGTAGAGAGAGGGTAGTGAGGGGGTTGGGATTTGAAAGTTGTGATTCTGCAGTGGTTTGGCCTTTGCAGAGAACATGTCATTGAAATGATGAGAATGTGCAGTCACTGCTTGATGTGAAGAGCGCAATATACATATATATATATATATACATATGTATAAGCTAGTACAAACTTGGCTCTTTTACTGATAGTTGCCTTGATTTTTTGATTGGTATTGTGGATGAGATCTATTGGTATTTCAAAAGGGAGCGCCACCGACACAGATTTTGAATAGATCTTAAGGTGTCATGTATGTAAAAAGATACAGTAAGTAGATCTTAAAACCTCCCAAGGTTTTCTACAATATATGTAACTAGGTTGTCACAAATAACTTAAATGAACGCTGTCTTAATACAACATATAAAGAAACATAGAATTAGCATTAACCTTTCAAATAATTGAAATGAAATAAGAAAGATAAGCAGAAACCTACTACAAATATTTCATGGAACTCTTGAAGTAGAATTAAGGTAGAAGATTTCCACAAACTCTGAGGAACAACAATGACATCAAGTGGTGTGACTTTAAGGTATAAAGTATTTTACATATAAAATTCAGTTAACATTGCCAGGGAATCTTGTATGTTGTGCCTTATTTTTTCTGAGAATGTTGCTGGACAATGAGGTTTAAGCAGAAATTACAAATAAGCTGATATTTTATCCAACAATTCAAAGAGATCTTTCAGTTTATATGTTGTTTTTCACTTTCATCCATTTCATTTCTCATGTATATAAACTACATACCCCCAAGGGGTGCATGTAACAAATACTTGAAGTAATCTTGCATTTTGATATAAAGAACACCCAAACAAAAACATGCTGTACTTTGGTATTGAAACTGGCACCCCTAAATCAAAGTATATGTTTTGCAAGATACTACATTCCCAACTGAATCAATCCTCTTGAAAAGGGCAACCATTTTTCAAAAGGATTGCTGCAACACTTCAAGGAACAATCTGGATTGTAATGAAGCAATTCGTTCAAACAAAGTTATATACATTTCCCAAAAAGGAATTGTATTTTGTTTCAAACAATCATGCATTTCCCAATTGAAGCAAGCATCTTGAAAAAGGCATGTATTGTTCAAAAGATCCAAAAAGAATGCTGCAACACTTCAAGGAGTATTGTGTTTTGTAATAAAGAAGTTCGTTCCCAAAAAAGCTTCAAAGATGAATGTAGTTTCCAATTGAAAAAGGCATCTTGGAAAAGGCATGTGTTTCTCAAAAGTGATGCTGCAAGACTTCAAGGGATATTATAATTTGTAATGACACATATTTCTCAAAAGGAATGCTCGGTGGGCAATTTAAATTTGTTTTTTTATATATCTAAAACAAGATGTTTATAAACAAAGGTGTGTTTATAAACATGTTGTGTTGAGGAATCAGTGATATGAAAGCAGATTGAGAAAAGAAGCCTAATTGTGAAGCAAACACATGAGACATCATATCATGATACACCACATACTGACATACACATGGGCTCAGTGTGTGTTCCATTTAAATAAACAATGATGATAACCAACCCTGCCCGGAAAACGCACCGAACCCATATAAAAATAGTTAAATATTGGTTAAATAATGTAAGAACATACTATATATATACATAAGCTATAACTAGTTATATTACATAGTAACTATATATAAACTGTAACTAGTATAACAACTATTGGGTATAATAACCCATATATATATATATTATAACTAAGTTTAACCGACCTGAACCAGGCATTTTTTTTCGGCGTTTTTTTTTCTTCCTCATCTCCATGGCGAACTGGGGTATCAGCTGGTACCACCTTGTGGATATTCCGATGGTTACTGTGGAACAATCCATTTTCACTGGTATATTGTATAAAGGTATGGTCATTTTAAAGGTATATTAAGTATCAATGGCCATTTTCAATAGCCAGAAACACATTTATAAAATACCATATCTGGTTGGTGGTACACCTACCCCTCTGAAAAATATGCTCGTCAGTTGAGATGATTACATTCCCAATATATGGGAAAAAAAAAAACATGTTCCAAACCACCAACCAGCAATACAACCACCTTGACTAAGCAATCGACTGGGATAGTGCTAATGGTCAACTATAGTCACAATCGCAAAAAAGCAAACCCCACGTTCATTGGTGATGGTTTGTTGAAGTATGGTATTGTTATGAACCAATCTAACTCCGTGTCGTCCCTTGAATTACTGGTTGGTTAAGAACGGTTTTCCTTTCATGGATTGTGATATTCCCCAATTCATATTGCTTAGTACAATACCTATGATTGAGAGTTTCCAGTCTAGTAAGGTTCTATAAATCAAGGTTTTGATTTTTTTCTGAAAATTTTCTGAAAAATTTCTGAATCAAATTTCTGAAATATTTCTGAAAAATTTCTGAATCCAGAGATTTTCTGCTGCCAACCATTCAAAAATGAAGGAAACTAGCTGTTTTGCTGCTATGTTCAAACTTTTTGCGTTGCTTCTCTTGAATTTTGACGAATTTCAGAAATTTTTCAGATTTTTTTCAGAAAATTTTCAGAAAATTTTCAGAATTTTTTCAGAAATTTCTGAAAAAATTCTGAAAAAAATCTGAAATATTTCTGAAAAACTATGCATCCAGAAATTTTCTGCTGCCAACCATTCAAAAATGAAGGAAACTAGCTGTTTTGCTGCTATTTTCATACTTTTTGCGTTGCTTTTCTCGAATTTTGACGAATTTCAGAATTTTTTCAGAATTTTTTCAGAAAATTTTCAGAAAATTTTCAGATTTTTTTCAGAAATTTCTGAAAATTTTCTGACTGAAAAATTTCTGAAAATTTTCTGAAAATTTTCTGAAAAAATTCTGATATATTTCTGAAAAATTTATGAATCCAGAAATTTTCTGCTGCCAACCATTCAAAAATGAAGGAAACTAGCTGTTTTGCTGCTGTTTTCAAGCTGTGTTGCTGCTATTTTCATACTTTTTGCGTTGCTTTTCTCGAATTTTGACGAATTTCAGAAATTTTTCAGATTTTTTTCAGAAAATTTTCAGAATTTTTTCAGATTTTTTTCAGAAATTTCTGAAAATTTTCTGAACAATTTCTGAAAAATTTCTGAAATATTTCTGAAAAATTTCTGAAATATTTCTGAAAAATTTATGAATCCAGAGATTTTCTGCTGCCAACCATTCAAAAATGAAGGAAACTAGCTGTTTTCAAAGTTTTCAGCTAGTTTTTCATACTTTTGGCAGTTCCCAGGTACCAAAAGTGGAGGAAAACTAGCTGTTTTGCTGCTATTTTCAAACTTTTTGCGTTGCTTTTCTCGAATTTTGACGAATATCAGAAATTTTTCAGAAAATTTTCAGAAATTTTTCAGAAAATTTTCAGAAATTTCTGAAAATTTTCTGAAAAAATTCTGAAATATTTCTGAAAAATTTATGAATCCAAAAATTTTCTGCTGCCAACCATTCAAAAATGAAGGCAACTAGCTGTTTTGCTGCTGTTTTCAAAGTTTTCAGCTAGTTTTTCATTACTTTTGGCAGTTCTGCTGCTATTTTCAAACTTTTTGCGTTGCTTTTCTCGAATTTTGACGAATTTCGGAATTTTTTCAGAAAAAATTCAAAAATTTTGCAGAAAATTTTCAGATTTTTTTCAGAAATTTCTGAAAATTTTCTGAAAAATTTCTGAAAAAATTATGAATCCAGAGATTTTCTGCTGCCAACCATTCAAAAATGAAGGAAACTAGCTGTTTTGCTGCTGTTTTCAAAGTTTTCAGCTAGTTTTTCATTACTTTTGGCAGTTCTGCTTCTATTTTCAAACTTTTTGTGTTGCTTTTCTCGAATTTTGACGAATTTCAGAATTTTTTCAGAAATTCTAGTCAGAAATATTTCAGAAATTAATCAAATTTATCCAGTACCTCAGCAGGCTGGGCAGAAAGTCTCAAACCTATGACTAATCTTCAACCAGCCATCATTTATCAGTTATATCCAGGTGTGTATATATATATGCTTATATGTTCATGGTCTTTCAACCCCTATGAAATGACAAACTAATCATCAACCAACCATCATGTACCATTTTTCTATAGGTCTGATACTTCAAACCATTTGAAACATTATAAAACCCTATAATTGATAATGACATTTCATGAAAACCATTTGGTGCCACCACCTCAACCAGGGTCGTCACCACGGCTCCCCCGTCCTTCTGCACCAGGTTTTGCGTCCACTGCTCCCCCGCGCGGGCCGCGATGCGGCTGAAGACTTCCCGAGGCAATGCGCCGCATTTAACGCAGCTCAGCTGACCCACCTTCATCTCCTGGCGAAAAGGGCCCAGGACTGGGAAGAGCAAAGAAACATTGAGGTTTTTTACCATGAAACATGTGAATTTAACACGGTTTAAGCATGAAAAAACGTGTTTTGTTTGCAGAATCAACATGTGTATGTATATATATATATATATATTTCTTTACCCATGATACGTGTGGCTGCGGCTACGTGAAACATGTGGTCTTAACGATGAAATGTGGATTTATGGAGACGATACAGCGTTTGCTAAGCATGAAATGCCTACCTCGTTCTCGGGGTGTTTGCTGACAAACGATGTTGCTGACAAACCGAGGTACGCCCCAAAACTCCTCTGCACTTCGCCAAATAAAAACCCGCACTAATTTATATAGTGTGTATTTATATGAAATATTATGTGTCATAACTATAGTTATATTCGATCATGTATTATCTTTGTTTCTATTCAATGTTTTGTTGATAGATGATGTTCCTGTAGCTATAATCAACCCATGTTTGATCGCTTTTCGTCTTAACCAGGAACGCATGATGAAACCGTCCATGCCTGGATTCCAGTGGGTTTTGCTATGTTTCAATGCTGATTTCCAATAGCTATGTTCGTTTACGGTTAGTTTACCAAGGGGGAAATCCATATCGATCACTGTCCCAGCTATAAACACAATTTAGATAGTCAGTTTTCCCATGATTTTCCCATTGAAACATCCATTTACAATGGATTTTCCCATGATTTTCCCATTCAAACATCCATTTACAGTGGATTTTCCCATGTTTTTCCCATGTTTTTTGTCCATTTCTGGAGGCCTCCAGGTCACCCCGGTGGCCTTTCGGGAGTTCACATCCATCACCAGTCGTCGCAGGGCTTGGGCACGTTGCGCCACCCCTGCGATGACCTTGTCCGCCTCGAGGGGTGCAGTTGGAGAAGTTTTTTTTTTTGTCCCATGGATTTTGTTTGTTTGTTTTTAATGTTTGTTTTTTTTGTGTTTGTTTAATGTTGTTTTATGTTTTTTTGTTTTAAATTTCAAATGGATGTTTTATTGTTTTTTGGTTTATGGAGATTTTATGGATTTGTTTCTGCTTTTTTAATGGATTTTTACAGATTGGAAACCACCATGAGTTGGTTATTTTAATCAATGGGAATTTCAGGATCCTAAAATTGAGGTACTGTACCATATAAGGGCACATTCTCTAGGGATGTCCCCTTACATAGGCCTTATATAAGCCTTATATATGGTAGGTACCTCCAATTTAGGTTCCTGAAATGGCCATTGATTTAAGTTGGGATGATATAAGCCCTATGACTACAGTTTAAGATGTTTTAATCACTAGATGAATATTGTAAACTAGTGCATTTGGAGGTTTCCTAAGTCATAGGGGTACCCCGGGTACCCCCAAATGATCCAAGTCATGAATGACCACGACTTAGTATTGAAACCTATGGTGTTTTGGGGATCCACGATTTTAGGAAATTCCAATATCGGCAGCCACCATTTTAGTTGGGATATTTCACGATTGTTTCGGCCCTTTGGAACTATGGTGAAATGGTGATTTTTGTATCCACTTGTTTCTCTATCTTAATTTATCACACCACTGCACCCCCAAGCGGATCGATTAGGACCTTCCCACGACCCCTTCCAGGTAGCAATCTACCAGGCCTCCTGTCGGGTCAGCATCCGCGGAATGTGATACAAGCGGTTGTCTCCTTTGAAGCACTTCCTGAGAAAATGGGCCAGAGTCCAGTTCCATAAGGAATCCGAAGTTGCGAAGTGTAAATACCCCCGATGGTAAACTGTAGCTATGGTTTTTTTTTCATGGTGCCAAAGACGGATTTTTTCTACACGTGGTGGAGTTTCTAATCTATGTACAAGCGAGGACCGCCATGGCGCCCAGGGCCAGTAACCATCAACCAGAAGGCAACAACGGGTGCTACTACCGTCATGAACCATCATTAACCAGCATCCACCATGATGAACCATCATTAACATTAACCACCGAGTGTCTCAGACTCTTCTTTGAAGTCGTTGATGCGCTTCGGTTTTTGCTTCAAAATTTGTTCGATCTGCGCCACCACCCCAACATAGGCTGGACGACAACGGCCTCAACGTGGGTGTCTCGTGGCGATGGGAGGATCTTTCAGCGCCATATTGGGGTGCGTTCCAGTTCATGTTTACACACGGCGTGATGATCTATAGATGCCCAACTTGAGAACATGTCAGAAACGGCTAACCATGCTTAAAAATCCACATCAACACCGGAACGTTGCCCATTGAATTCCGGTCGTTGCTGGTTAGATACACCGTTCTTGATTCCACCAATGCGATCAGCCCAATCCTTGCAGGTCCCTCCCTCCCCAATATTAGAAGATGTATCTGTGTATATATATATACTCATATATGTATGTTGTGTTTTCACTATTTACCTGTCTAGCTAAATCATAAAACTCTAGCTAGATCAATGATAGATAATGATGAATATAATTACATCAAACTATCAATAAATTCTCTATCATTATCTACAAGCTACCATTATCTATCATTCAATGAAAAAATCTAGAATCTATAGTTTAACGATAAATTGTTGCCATATAATCTATATTAGCATCTATCATTATCATATGTATATACATATATTATATGATTCCGATGTAGCTCGATATCTAGTTTTAGATGACATGGTAGATTAGATACCTATAATTGAATCTAGGTATATCCACCCATAATATGCTAACATATTATGTATATATATATATATATATACTAAATCGACCTACTATAGTATGTAAATTTAGATATCACTAGATATCAATAGATATCACATATTTACATCTATATCAATATCATTATACACATCTAAGATAATCATAAATAATCTAAATCTAGCGCGACACCGCGCCTTTGGCCTCGCGCATCTCGTCGTAGGGCTCCGCCTCGCTGGCACCCGGCCAGAGCCCGAGGGCCACGTCCGGCAGCTGCTGCCGTGCCTCCTGGGCCAGCGGTGACCGGTGTAGCACCGGCGAAAGCCATGGAATACCCACAGGTAAACTAACATAGCTATGGAAACCATGGCGAATTTATAGAATCATTCTGTAAAAATGGTAAGGTTCAATGTATTTAATTACCAGAGTATCATAAAGTCATAGAGAATATCATGGAGAATTTCATGGGAAAATGCATGGGAGAATTGTGGAAAATGGGAACATGTGGGATTTCATCAATCATGGGAATATCATTGACCAAATGGGCAATGATTTGACCTGGAATCCAGGGGTACAACTGCCATTTTTAAATACCAGAGGTATCCACGGCCACAGTTCACCTGTCGGTAAAACATTCACACCAGCTATATATGTGACATATATGCAATCACCACGAACATGGCCAATGCTGGATATCAAAGCGAATCTTAGATACCTGCCAAAGAAATCATTTTTGTTGCTTGGTTAGTACATTTTACCATTGATAGCCAAAGATTGAAGTACTAGTTCGTATCTAACTATAGTACTAATAAATAACTAAAGTACCTATAATATCCTATAATTACTAACTATCCTTATTATAGTACTAGTTCGTATCTAACTAAGATAAGGCAAACACAAAGTACGTACCGAGGTTTCAGTGTCCTCCGCGAGCAGGGCGATGGCATCTGTCACGGCTTTGGAAGGTTTCCAACCTGCGCTTGAAGGAACTGATTTTTCTATGTGTGCCAAGAGTTGAAAACACCTTCTATATGCTTCAGGCTTGATTTTGTTGATTTTCCAAGGCTGACTCAGATTTTTAAGTGCCTTTTCAGGGAGATGGCCATGGATATTTCATATCTGGTTATTTAATATAGCCATGGTTTTTCGATGGCCCTAATCGAAATAGATGGTGGATCTTTCAGCGAATGCTTAAAGGGATTGGTTCAGAAAATCCCAAATAAGATCCTGCCTTTTTGAAAAAAAACATGGCTACCTCAGATATCAGGATATGACATATATATATATTATGTACATAACCATATCATACATGTTCATATATGTAGAGATAGATTGATAAATAGGATAGGATTGGATTGAATGGGATAGGATAGGAGAGGATAGGATAGGATTGGATTAGATAGGTTAGATAAATTAGATGGATTGGATAGTGGTAGATTAGATAGATTATGTAGATTGGATAGATTGAATTGGATGGATTAGATGGATTAGATGGAGTAGGTGGATTAGACAGATTGGAAAAACGATTATATAAATTGTTTGATTGATTGATAAACAAATAGGTCAGATAGAATTGGATAGGATTAGGATATGGGGTACGATCAAACAGGATCGGATAGGATATGATACAATGCATATATATATATATTAAATGTAGACATATATAATGTGGCAAAAAAATAACAATACATAACTGATCCCATCAACCAACCATCAATAGGGGGTCATATTGCATCATGCCAAATAGAGGTATGCCCAACAATAAACCTCTATTGGGGATCTTTTTTTGGATTTACCATATTATGTGCAAATATGGTAAGCAACAAAATTTACCATATCACTACATATTACTAGGTTTCTACTAAAAAGGATAACGTATTATCTTTAGTATTGGGTTTACCAGATTATGTATGTATATAATTGTATATATATATGTATTATATTATGGTATTAGGAAACAAAAGAACCAAGCCGGGCCTTCCAGTTGCAAACTACCTTGGCCCAGCAAGCACTGCACCAAGACATTGGCCGCTGCTGCGTCAGACTGGCGGCGTTTGGTCGTTCACGCTTCTGCGTTGCCATAGGGAAAACACAGCAGCTGTAGAATGGCTATGTAATGTTGATAAAACAATTACAAACCGCCCATCTTTTGAATATGTTGATGGATTATACACCCTATTTATGGTAAAGCTGGGAATGGCTTCCTATTGCTTTACTAACATTACATAGATTAAATAGACATGATGCATTGAACTAATTGTGAACTTGTATAGATATATACATGTTTACTATATTATTTAACGCTACATGGCATTGAATACATCTATCTCTCTAATATAAATATATATATATATATAAATATATGTAACATGTGCTGCTCTATGTCCTTCAAGCACTGAACATGGTTGAAAGTATAAATCTGGGCAAAACACAAGAAACGTACAGCTCTGAAAATGTAGAAGCCCCTCTGATTTAATATATGAGTTCAAATGACTTAAATACAGGTCTGAAACATTGAAATTACCTCGCAGGTCTAGTGATGAATAATGGGATTGTTTACTATTGGGTTTACCATATATAATCATATGTATGTATATATATATATATATATTCATGGTTGTATATAAATAATACATACATATCTGTGCATCAACCTCACATCCGTAGCAATTAGTTTGGCCCCCTTGTTTCAGGATCCCGTTGGACATATCACAATTAGTTTGGCCTTGATATTGACCGTCTGGATATGGTTTCTATATAAAAATGATGCATATTTTTTCTATATTGATAATATGGATAGTATGGATAATACGGGCTTTGTCATATATTTTTCTATATTTCTGAAAATTGCAATTCATTGCTGCTGGGATTCATTTTTAAAATGATGCATCATTGCTGCATCCAGTGATACTTCCCATGGTGGATTACGATGATGCAAAATAGAATAACACCATTACCTCAGGGTGAACTAGCATGGATGTGAAAAACCAATGGCTCCCAAGAAAACATCTGCATTCATGGTGGATTTTTTTCACATGAGTTGGCCATGTTTCTAGGAGGGTAACCATGAACCACCAGAGATTCAAGGCAACCCTCGGCCTTCAAATGGCTCTGAGCATCCTTTGGCAGCGTTCCATTGCTTGGCATCGCTGAGTTTTTGTCGCGAGCGCGACTTATTTTGTGGCCGCAAGCGTCAATGATGAGCTCGCAATTGAAAATCCATCATATATTATGTGTCTCTTTATAGATTATAGATGATCTGTCCATTAAGAGTGGAGATTGCAAACATTGCCATGTTTGATTGCCACTTGACATCCAAATGTCCCTTGTGAATTTGCTTTGGCCCCGCAGGTTGTGCACCTGGCAACTGTGGTTTTTACGATCGCGGAGAATTGGTGCCCAAGAGCATTTCACAAATGGCTCCCTGGAGGTGAAAATTGCAGCTACCGGCACGGCCCCAGCGAGTGAATTGCAGCTTGGAAGGTGACAAGTTTGCAAATGATTCAAATAGGATATCTGGTTGGTGGTTAACCTACCCCTCTGAAAAATATGAAAGTCAAATGGGATTATTGCCTTTCCAGTATATGGGAAAATAAAAATGTTCCAAACCACCAACCAGGATATATATTCTCGACATAACAGGAACAGGAGATGTTCCAGTTGCTAACAATATGAGGATCATGCAAGGAGATAAGCATTGCAACCGTGAGAAACTTACACTGTTTTCATCCCTCTGGGATGCGCTGCCATTGATTGCCAAGTTTCAGCATAGAACTCGTCATTTCAGCATATCAAATGCTGTCACCCTCTGGGAATCTAACAGTTTGCTATGGAAAATCACCGCGTTTTTTATCGGTATATCGGGCCATAGCAGTCTTAGATGACCAAAGGTTATCTTGGTACTTGCAGGGGAAGATCCCAACGAATCTTGCGCTTGGGAAACATATTGGGAAGACAATGTGAAAGTTCACATGTAGTCTAGAAGCGCGGTGTGTAAATCTACCATGGTGCACATGATGTACACATGTACTACATATAGAATATAATATCTCATATACGCAATATACCTCATATACATAGGAATGCTATATTCACTATATATTCCATTCCGTACCAGCATGACGCAACATGGTCATTCACATGTTCAATCCCCACAAGGTCAATCCCCAGAACCAGGGCTCACCCAGGAAGGCTTTCCTGCCATGTCTTTGAACCTGAGATCTGACATGTCTGTGGCAAAGGTTAGGGAGTCAAAATAGAGAGCTTGTCATTGGAGATTTCGACCTGTATACATATTCATCATATTAATACTTGAGTTTATGGCATGTACATATCTAAATATATATATATATATGTAGATAGATACGGAGATATAGATATAGGAATGAATATAGATATAGAATGATATAGATAAAGATTTTAAGTAATAGATATAATATATATATATATAAATATCTATATATATACATACTGCATTATAGACATAAATTCATGTATGTTATTCATTTTTATGATAATACACATGTTCTCATTACAAGTGGTGGTAGGGTTTCCCTTGACTTCCAAGTCGAGAGGTTGATTTCGTAAAGATCTTAAACCAGGCCCTGCTCCCTACTGGGCGCCCGGACACGCCCTGAAACTCTGACTCCACTCCACACACAACCGGAGGCGAAACAAGACCTGCGGACGAACTGCGTCGCCCTTGGAAGGTTTTATTGATTCCCCCCATTTGTTGGATATCTTGTATCAGGTTGTCCCTCCTTTTTCCAGCTGTCGCTATGAGGCTATAGGTCAAAAGCCTGCGGGCCATCAATGGATGTCCATCCCCAACAACTAGCGGGTACAGTACCATTGGCACGTTTCATCCACAATCTTTGGAGATGAAAATTTACACCCAGGATTTTTCACGACGTTCGGAAGGGGCAACAAAAACGTGGGGCCCTGAGGGGGATTTGCAATGGGCAATTCAACTCTGCAATTTCTGAGGATTCTGAATATTTTGAATCATGAACTCTTCGCTTTTTGAAAACAGTTTGGCAGTTTGAAGTAAAGACTCACATTGGAAGGGTGCTAACTCAGAGTTACTCTTCAGTTTCAGCTCCCTTTCTGCCAGAATCAAACTACTGGCCACCAACTGTTGCTGCTGCTGCCGGATCACCGCCATCCGAGTCCCTCCGGCCTTCACTGTGCACAAAGACCTGAAGAAAGTGAAAGATCCAGAGGAACTTGGAGTAATAAGGCTGACACAATGCTTGATTTGAACACCACTAACAGTATATCTATAATTAGAATATGGTATGAATAAATAATTCACACATAATACTACATAATGTATTAATATATAGGTAATTATAATACACAATATCCCCCGAAAGTGGATAAAGGTTTTCCGCTAACAATGCACCAACGTTTGTGAACGATCAAAGGTATTCCGTCAAGTTGATCGTCAGGTGGTTCACCCACAAAACCATTCCTGAAGGTACGTCATCCACAACTGGGAAATTGTCCGTTGCCATGTGGGTATTTCCTGAAATGGTGGTACCCAAAAATTGGATGGTTTATAATGGAAAAAAACATTTTAATTAAAATGGATGATTTGGGGGTACCCCCATTTCAGGAACCCCCCATGTTTGTTTGTTTGCCAAGGAAATAAAGGTGCATAAAGATCCCCTCAAAATATCCCTGAAACAAACTGGTGTCTATCATAAAAATATGGAGAAAAATCACGTGGAAGAGCTACGAGACCTAGTGCAAGGGATTTTACCCTCCGCATTGATAATTTCCCTCATCTTTTCTTGTGAACTGCCTGATCCTGATCACAAGAATTCTTCATATCTGTTGATGAAAACTTTCCTTTCAAATGTTATTTCTTTGCACATGACTCTTGCGTAGTCCTGAACGGTCCATATTGAATAGATCTAGTTCCCAAAACTTCTGGTCAAATATCATCATCATCATAATCATCATCATTGTGAACAACTAACAACTGTCATAATAATAAATACTGTAATAATCAACAACTATGTGACTATCTGTTCTCTCTGTTCTCTCTTTTCTCTCTTTTCTCTCTTTTCTCTCTTTTCTCTCTGTTCTCTCTTTTCTCTCTTTTCTCTCTTTTCTGTCTATTCTATCTGTATCTCTATTCATTCCATTCATTATTTTTTTCCTATTAATTAAAATTATTAATTCTATTCATTCTATTCATTATATTCATTATATTCATTATATTCATTATATTCATTATATGTATTCATTATATTTGTCATTTCATTTATTCATTTTATTTATTCATTATATTCATTATGTTCATTATATTCATTATATTCATTACATTCACTACATTCAGTAAAATCAGTGTTATCATTATATTCATTACATTCATTAAA